CAGCAGCAGCAGCAGCAGCAACAGCAGCAACAGCAACAAGAATGGCGGCAACTATGGCCGCGATAAGGGAATCGGGAAACGAAAGTTGGCAGTCAGGAGAGACGGGAGCCAGGAGTTCCCGACTGGACACGCCCACTGGTCGGAGCGGTCAACTCCCTGACTGGTCTATCATGCGGCTGACGTGACGTGACGCGGCAGCGATTTTTACACTTTGCACTTTTTTCCACATCGAGATACCCAGGACATTTTAAACTATAAAAGGTAGATGAGTTTGCAGTAATCAAGCAATTATTTTTTCTCAAATAATGAAATCTTATAAAATAACTTTGAAATACGGCTAAAAGGTATATGCAAAAAAATCTCTATTAAACCTATAAAAGTAGTTTAAAATGTATAATTTTTAAAAACTACTTTAAAATAATAATAAAACAAGTCCAGAACACAGACTTAGTTAACTATATAGCTTTGAATCTGATAAAATACTCCATCAAATCCCTTAAAGAGTCACAATACTGGCCGACTCCCTACCAACTATTACCAAATTGAACGCATGTTTATATAGCCTTTCCTAGTCGATTACTTGAATGATTTCCAGCATTTACTGCTTCCGATTTCGCTGGTCAGTGGCTCTTTGTTTTACTTTTGTTTTAAACGCGCTTTTTAGTTGAGCTCCCAGTTTCCTTTTTTTTTTTCGTCGCATTTTGGCGTCGTCATTCGTCGCTGTCGTCGTCGTGGGCAATAAATCTTCATTTTCGCTATTAAAATGTTGTAATATTTTCGCTTGTTTTTTAACGCGCTGCCGATTGTCCTCGTCGCTCTGCATTGCCGGCGTTGCTGCTGTGGCCAAAAATATATTTGGAGTTTTGGTTTAAGGACCCCGCAGCCAGAGCTATAAATAAAAAAATAGAGAATAAAAATTGAATGGCTGGCGGCTGGTTGCCTTAGTTATTTCGAATGATTTTATTTAGAGGGTTGCCGCTTAGATTTTGTGGTTCTAAACGGATTTATGCCCGTTCGTAATTGATCTTTTCAGCGGAATTGCCCTGGCGATAAGCTATTCGATAGCAAGACGACTTTAATGTGAATTTATCTGAAACGGCGACTGCTGATGTCATTGCTGACGCATTGCGTATACGCAGCGTGGCGCTGCCATTAGTGTGGTCTTTGAAAGAGTGAATGTGGATGTGAATGCGAATGCATGTAGCTATCGTGCTGTGACCCTTATTGCATTAAAATATTTGACACAATTGCAGCTTTATGGCAATTTGCAAATTGCATTGCCACCTGCGGAGCTCGCTTTGGCATTGGGTCGACTTTGTCAGGTGCACACACATTGTGTGAGCTGTGTGTCATTTTGAATAATTTCAGAGTGCGTGACAACATATTTTTCGCCTCGCCTTGCATGCAAGTCAATCAATTTGCCTGGCTAGAAATATTGAAAAGTAATTGTACTTTGCGGGTTTTCACAACTTTTCAATTTTGTAGTTGCTTTAACGATTATTTTAGGTAAAACGGAAGAGCTACTAATAAATTGATTTACTAGGCATATTATTTTCAGGGATTTCCTCTTGCTGGATTAAAGCCGTGAAATAAATTCACCAAAACTCGATTCACTTCCGAGCGCTGGGGGTAATAAATCAAACTGTCTAAAATGGCATACATAAATTTCCATACTGGAAAAGGCATTTGCGATGAAATTAACACGCTGCGGCCCAGGACAACGTATCGTTTGCTGTGATTAATGCAACGCGGCGTATGCGTAACGTTTCGCTAGCTGTCTTTATTAATGGACGCTGATTTGCACATAAAGCAAAGCACATACATATGAGCCGAGCGATAAAATGTGGCAAGGGGATGGAGGCAGAGAGGCAGGGATGGTGTGGCCTACAAGGTGCTGGGATTAAACTAGATAGCTCCTCAGCAGCAGCAGCAGTAGCAGTAGCTCCCTGTGCTCATGGTTGTGGCTTCTTGGCTGGAGCAGCTCCTGCTCCCAGGCTGAGCTGCCTGGGCATTGTTGTAGAGTCATTAAGGTGTAAATTATACCACTAATTAGCCATTAAGTAGCAAACGGCAGCAGGCAGCGTTTAAGCACGTACATGCCAAAACAAAACGAGTTCTGCGTGCTGTGAAGGACCTGGAACTACTACAAGGATATAGAAGCAATGCAATAAAATTTAATGAGCATATAAAATGTGAGAGTGAAAAGTAAATTCTAGAGCTTGTGCCGCAGCTCAAATCGAACAGGTAAAGGTACGAGATATGTGTAGAGCTTAAAGGTGTCCCGGGATTATCAGAGAGCAGTGTAGGTGTTTTTGTCTGTCTGCCCTCAATCCTTTGGTAGTAATGCTGTATATATCGAATCACCAGAACCGAGCAGAACAACAAAGCAAGTGCGAGAAAAACAGCAGAAATAGTTTGAAAAAATATTGAATTCTTGAGACATAAACAAAGTGAAGAGGAGCGAGCTGCAGTAGCAGCTATAGAACTCCGGCAGACTATTGAAGCAGAAAATCGAAAATTTATACAAATATGTTGAAAGAGCAGGGCGGAGGAGCAAAATGGGGCAAAATGGAGCAGCGCTTTGGCGTTCGGGAAATGTGCAGCGGCTTCAACACAAGGAGCAGTAGTCCTTGTCTATGGCCAATGTGTTCCACAGCCAGTGCGAGTATGTGTGTGTGTGTATTTGCCATGGCTAAATTTGCATTTATTTTCTGAGGGTATGTTCAAATGTGCAACGAACTGTGCTTGAGTAGAAGACAGGCGGAGAGCCAGCGCAATCAAAGACGAAGCCGCCACCGCCGAGATGGCTCTTCCTTTAGCCCTTGCTCTTGCCTCTGCTCCTGCTCTTGTTCCTTTTTGCGTTCCTGCTCCAGTTTTTAGCTAGCCGGCGGCTGTTCGTGTCCATTGCATTCGATGCTCCCTTTTGCCGTGTCCATCTCCAAAACAGCACAAGACAAATGTACTCGCAGAGCTGACCCTGCAGCCAAATCCCATACAGAGAGATCCATCTGGAGAGCAGATCCACCGGGAAGGCAACTGCCTTTGATTGCTTTTAAAGTGTTCCCTGCTCGAAATTGAATTTGCCATTAGTCGTTGGCAACTTGTAAATTCAAATAAGCTCAACCCCCTGACCCCTGCATCGCCCCCTTCTGTGTTTTTCATTGCGTCATGCTGCATAATGAGCTGTAAAATCTTTGCTCGGCTTACATGGCGTGTGAGTGACATTTAATTTGCCGTCGACAGCGTTCGCATAAAACATAAATGGCTCCCTTAGGGAAAGCTACCCCTTTGATCTGGATTTTGATGTGATCCCCGAAAAGATCCTTGATCAGAAATTCCTGTTAAAGCTATGCTAAGCCACATAGTAATTAAGCCCAAAATAGTTTCTTTTAAAAAATGAGAACTTTTGAACTACATTTTTCATTCTAAAACTGCCAAGGAGTAAATAAAAAATGATTATTTTCACACCATCCTTATCAAATCGCAAGTGGAGTTTTGTTTCAGATTTAGCACCCCTCCAACTTGCAAATGGAGATTATTTATTAGATACCAGAGAGCTCGTAGAAGCACTGAAATCCAAACTGAAGGCGGAAGCAAACCAGATCCAGCACGCATTTTACAGCTAATAATAAATGACCCGAGGTTGCTTGTCGTCGTCCACGTTTTTCAGCCGGGCACGTACGCATAAATTTCGACAAGGCCGTTGAATGTCCTTTTTTTCCCAGAGTCAGGTGGGCTGTTGTCCCCTTTCGTCCTGCTCCCTTGGCGTCGGCCCATAAACATAATGACCAGCTATTATGGCCGGTTGGATCGGCTTACATCCCGGCAAACACATGTTTGTCAGTGAAGTTATGTGCCAAGTGTAACATATTTTAAATAATTGATGAGCGAACCCGACCCGGCAGCTGTTCCTTATTCTCCTTGCCAGCCTACCGGCCTCCGGAAATCCAGATCCTGGCCTGCCTGCCTGAACTATATATTTGCATGGAAAAGCCTTTGGCTGCCCATCAATTAGACGCACTCGACGCCGTCGAGCCTGCCGACATGGCTGTCACTTTTTGCTGTCGACGCCAGAAGAAGGGAGCGAGAGTTCCTAGCTGGAAATGCCTTTGGCTCATCCGTTTTCTTGCCGCAGGCGGTGCATACATTACAAACACTTCAATTTCCGTCTGCCAGTCAGTCCACTTCAGAGCCGAAGCCTGATTCTGAATCAGTTTTTTCCCTTTCACCAGATGTGGTGGGGGAGGGCAAAATGCTCCTCCACCAGACAACTGTAATCAAAGCAAATTAATTATCTATGTCCTTCGTTGTACGCCGCTTTTTTTGCAGCCATCTTGCTGATATACCCGTACCAGTGCCTTTTCCTTCCAGCCTTTCATGTCCGGCACAATGTCGTCTGCCGTTGTCAGGACGGTCCACTCAGCTGTCTGCCTCGATGGCGGCAAAAGGCAAGAGTTAAATGACGGCCATTGATGCCTGGTTTATAATTCAATGTGCAGCCGCACTCCAGCACACATACTCCTTCATCGCTGGAATACCGGCAATATCTTCTACTCCTTCATACGCTTTCGGCGCGCTCAAAAGTAGACTTAAAAAAAGTGCAAATGCCAAAACAATGACAGACACGCCAAATAAAGGACATGCTGGGAATTAGAGAGAGAGAGAGAGAGAGAGAAAAAGTGCTAGATGAGTCTGCCGATTGGCTTTCATCTAAATTTTTAATTAATATTTCTGCAGGTACACATACACTGAGAAAATGAGATCCTATTCCTCGAAGTATGAACCAAACAATGGAGAACTTTTTATTTTTGTATTCAAAGAATAAATCTGAAAGAAAGTATGAAAGTGAATTCTTCCAACTTAATTTCACTAAATTTTTCCAAGTGCATTTCTTTTCATATTCACTTAGACTGAAACTAATTAACTTAGCTATAAGAAAACCATTTCTGGCATGGTGAAAGCTGATCAGTTGCCCTGCTTAATGCCAGTTTCTTTTCAACATGCGCCTCCTAATCACATGCATTTTGCTGGTCCTTGTAATCGACTACAATGCCGCCATGTGGATAAAGAAGTACTCCGAGAACTACCATCGACCCACCTATTACAATCGAGGACATAGTTCCAAAGACCACGTGGACTACAATCGAGAGGCTCTGGAAGAGCGGGACAAACCGCCACCAGTAAAATCCCGCAGTGTGTCTCCCTTCAGTGCGGAGAGGGACTTGAGCTACTATGTGCACGTCCTGAACAGAGGATCTGTTATTTGTTCAGGTGCCATGATCTCCCGCAGAATGGTCATCACCTCCTCGCACTGCTTCACTCCGCCTGGAACCGACGCGGCTTATGAATTCACAGCGAAGCGCATGTCTATTCTTACAGGCATTGAGTTCACCCCGGGTAAGTCTCCTCATATGCTGATAGCATTCTTCATGCCGGTGAACAAGGACGAGTCATTAGCCAACCATGTGGCACTCCTCGCCCTGGCCCAAAAACTCGAACGGGACACGTTCCGATATATCCCCCTTAACCGAAAAAGGCCCCATGTGGGGGACGACGTTAAGATGGCCTATGTCGGCCCACCTAACTACCAGATCAGACACTATAAAACTCGGGTCCTTGACTTTGATCGCTGTAAAGTTTACTATAGCCTTAAGGAGCTCTTCCACGTGTCCGTTTTTGAGCAGAACTTTTTCTGCGTGCGGAACAAGCGACACTCAAAGAAGACCACCTGCAGCACCCGACCCGGAGATCCATTGGTTGTCGATGACAAACTGGTGGGTATTAATATCTATGGCGAGCACTGCGATGAGGACGACGACTCCACCAACATGGATATATACATACCAATTAGGGTCGTCATACCCTTCATCCAGACGGCTACCGATGCTCTGAGGGCTTTCACGGCCTCCGGTCCCTTCAATGAGTCGCTTCCAACTACTTTAACACCTCTGATACAGTCTTTGGCCGACAAGAAGCCTAATATTTATGTTGGTGATCATGTACGTGAAATCCAATTCGATGATCCTCTGAACGGCGGACCTGATGATGATGGAAGGGCTTCAAATGAGCACCACGCTATTATGATTCCCGATTACTATTAGTTTTTTTTTTAAAGAAAAACTCTTAAAACATTTTTAAAATTGTCCAAGGAACTAAATATAAACGTGTTAATGCCTCAGTTAAAAGCGTTGAAAATCCATTTTAGACATTTCCAATTGATTTTAATAACTTAATAGACCAGTACATATACTATCAGTTCATTTCCGAAGACTTCTTTGAGTCACGATGCTGCGTCCAATCTGTTTATTCCAAATCCTGCTACTGGCTGCCCTGGCAATCCAGTCAGAATCGAGGAATACCCATTTCCATCGCTATATGTTGGACACTTATAAGCCTCAGCACAATCCAAGGACCCAGATGGATTACAAGAGACATCGTACTGCGAAGGCGAAGGAACATAATGAAACAGATTCTGAGGTGCAGTTAGGAAACTCCAAGGAGCCCATGGTCAGGTTGACCAATTCTGATAAAAGAGTGCTGCTGCATGAGCTGATGGTTCGCATCTACCAGAAAAACAGGTACATCTGCATGGGGACAGTGATTTCCGAGAAGCTAGTGATTACCACGAGAACCTGTTTCGAAGATGACACAAATTTTGTGGTGACGATGAAGATGTTCGATGATGAAATCATCCACGGGGAAAAGGTGTTTCTCAACAAGACCTTTCTGAAGGGTGCAGATCCCATGCTTATTGTTATCGAACTTAAGAAACCCCCAACAAATTCCAGTGTAAAAGACGACACTGTGAGGCTGTGTGATGCTGAACTTGAAGTATACGAGCCCATCGAGCTGCCTCTTTGGATAAGACAACGCCACAGTATTCACTCGCAGATAACTTACGTTCTGCCAACACAGGAGTGCCGTCATCGCATGAAGGATCCCGAATCTCTTGTTGTCACCAGCACTACGATCTGTGTGAAGAATACGAAGTATACGTCAACTTGCCAGCCAGCCATTGGCAATCCTCTGATTCACGACGGAAGGATCTGCGGCATCAATGTGGCGGGTCATAATTGTCCCACCTTCACAGGGGTCGATTTGTATATACAGGGTATATGATGCTCTCGAGTTCTCAATAGTTGGCATGGATATCATCAAGAACTCCCACATTGAAGATACAATATTGTAATAAATTGAACAAAAATGTTCTTTTTTTCATAACTAAAATTTCTTTAAATTTATGTTTCTCCAATTTGTAACATACAGGCATGTCGCATAAGTAAAGGCCGTACAAAATTACCTAAATAAGCGAAGATAATTTTACAAATACGTTTCATAGCACTATAATAAGACAAGGCATTTGGTATGAAAAGTTAGTTTGAAATTTAGTCATGTTTAAACTGGGTATATTTTTGCTTATGGCTCTGTGGCTTCTAGTGGACCAACTCCAACAATCTTCTCATGGTGTGAAACATCACAAAATGCGGTATAAGCTGGGCGACTGGCGACCACACTTCGGCTACAGACCCAGTCACTACGCGAATAGTCACGGATGATGACATCGGTACCAGCAGGACTTAGGATTTCCACTTACTAAAAAAGTTTGAATTACTTTGCTGGTTAAAATGTACAATTCCTTATTTACTATATTGACAAGCATAAATAATTAATAAAAAAGAATAATAAGCGAGTCGAATCAAAGGCATTCATAAGGCCCTTTTTTAGAAGTTTAATCTTAGTTTTAAATACGGCCATGTGGAATATACGTATCTATTCTCTGACTTTGCTGTGCATTAGCCACGTCCGACTTATTTTGACTGACTTCGCCGCTCCTTCTCCGCGACTGGAGGAGTACCTGGTGCGAATGATTAGTCAAGGCAAACTCATCTGTACCGGCCTCATTGTGAATCGGCAACAGGTGCTAACAGCGGGGTATTGCAAGCCAGATCATCTTACGGATCACATCGATCTACTATTTTCGGATAATTCCATTAACACCATAAAGAACATCACTATGTCCGAACATTTCGCAGCCGAAGAAGCGAGTGATCTGCTAATCCTGATCGAATTAAGCACCGAACTAGGGGAAAAGTATTCCAATTTGCCACCCATTTGCAGAGAACGTCCTCCGGTTACCGATATGGTAGAGCATTGGAGTTGGAACTCGGATGGGCGGGAACTGCAGAAAATGTTGACGCCACAGTCGTCAACTTTGGAATGCCGGCGTGAAATCAATGATCCCGATGGCTTCATCATAGGCAATGACACCGTCTGCCTTAGGAACAAGATGGTCACCAATGGATGTGTTAAAAATTTCGGAATGCCCTTCGTGTGGCGAAACTCTTTCTGCGGCATTAATATCCTGGCACACAATTGTCAAATCGATGGCAATACGGACATCTTTGTTAGACTGCTGAAAAGTTATTAAATAAATATGTCAAGTTTGTTAATAAAATAAACTTTTATTTGAAGTGGGCTTGGAAAGGCATGTATATACTTCCTGGAAGTTCTCATTAAATGGTAGCTACGTACCACACTGGACAAGTTTATTTTGGGAATAATATCATAATCGCCTTATTTATTGCTGCAATTTGTTTCTTTCAAATTAAATGATTGCCGAACCAAGTTCAGACCTAGGAAGATCAAATGAAAACAATTTTTTTGTGTGCTACAAATATGACATTAAATTGTTCTGCCTCATTTCCGTTCGACTGGCTGAGGTTCAATCAAATTAATGAAAAATTTCTTTCCTACACCGCTGGCACGGCCAAATCAAAGTTGCCCAAGAAGAGCCATTAAACGCGCAGACGCTTAGCAATATTTGCCGGGGGAAGTCCTTTGGCTCAGTGTCTCATTGACAAAAAACCCAGCCAAACAGCCGAATGAATGAGAAGAAACTGTACAAACACTGAGATGAAGTGGCAGTGGCAAAAAAACCTTTTGTATTGCAGCGATAATGTCATCAACTAAAGTACTCCGTCGGGCATAGTGAAAAGTTCTAGTCAATCGCCATAAGGCACATAATGTGCCGAACGGAGGGGGGTGACTGAGACTGGGATACATTGGATGTTGACAAACTGTGTAAACATCATTAAAATGGTTTTCTCTCCAACGGCCCAAGCTCCCCCACTCTCGATATTGAAATGGAAAATCATTGAAATTATATTTCCGTCCATGTGTTCTGTTTGCTTTTTTGATTTTGCTTTTTGATCTCTCTGGCTGCGATTTGTCGACTTGTCTCCTGCTTCCAGAGAACGAGGTCCTTGCAAATTAGCCGCATATCACTTTATGGTAAAAGCACTTTGGCAAATTAAACTAAATAATTCAAGGGCGCCACCGCAGTTCATAAAAATGGGGCACAACAAACAATTTGCGCCTCGCCATCTTTTGTTTTGTTAGGCTGTTTTTTTGCAAATATTTTCCACCGACTCACACGCACTTCTAAACGAATATGTGGCTGCAGCTGGATATGGAAATGTTTGACAAGAGAAATGCGGTCGTCTGCTCGAGGGAGAACTGAGAGCTCAAACAATGCTAAGCGTAAAAATGATACGATGCACTGAAAGGAAATACTTGATAGTTCTATATACTAAAATTTAAAAATGTATCTTTCTAATGTGTAATTCAAGGATTCTTGAGCTAAGTAAGTTAACTTAATTGACTCATTTGAAGTTAAATATTTCCCCAAATTTCTCTCTCTGCATCGAAACGCATTTGTATGTGTGCGCACGTCCTTGGCCGTCGACTGTGCATGCTTGTGTGGGTGTGCGTAAAATTTTACGATAATACGCAACAATTTCGAAATGAGTGCACCCTGCTAAGCGGCCTGGTCGGTCGAGCATTTCGAGTGCAAAGAAAGCAATTTCCTCAATATTCTTTATAGCTAACAGGACCCAGCGCCAAAGAGGGAGAGAGAAGTAAGCGTGAGGGGGTGAGCAGGGGCACTCCTTGCTGGTTTTTTGTTATTATTTTCAAAGTTCCATAAGCCGCTTGCTAATAAAATTTTAGAAGCCTGTGCCGGGCTATTAACATTATCATAACGCACACAGCCAAAAGAGGGGGGAACGAGTGTGTGTGTGTGTGTGTGTGTAAGAGTGTCCTTATAATAATCATGGCCACACACTTACTCACACATACACTAATACTGTCACACAACATAGACGCCGCTGACACACATTTACATGCCACTTAGGCATTGTCGCCCATTCCCTTTGACTAGCGTTGCGTATACGCCGCGTTGTGCGTGCGCCTTATAATTCATTTATTGGCATAATTTCGTTTTATTTTTATTTGTTTTACGGCCTTTTGCGATTGCCTTTGATAGGAAGCGCAAAGATGTAGATGAGAACGAGAGAAAAAACGGCAAATTGAAAACATATTGAATATCGAATTTGGTTTTTTCTTGGCTGCCCTTGAATTGGCCGCGCCACTTAATTGCTAAGCTGCACACGCGATCCGGCATACAATTAGTTGTCCTGAGGGTGTCCTGGTTGGCATCTCCGGAGGCACCCCCGTTGGCCCTGTGCATTCATTACAAAGCACTTTAATTCGCTCGAGCTTGAGCGCATAGATCACGCCCGGCTTAATAAATTCCCACGCCAATGGCAACCGAAAACAAAAGAATCCTTGGACGTCGCTGCCACTCAGTGGGGGCGTATGTCTTACCTGGCACCAGCTGGAATTGGAGCTACAGCTTCAGGTTGAGCTCCTGCTCGTGCTTTTGCTGTTGGCCCATGGCGTCTGTCCTGTCTGCACACTTGTCTGGTCGTTGGAGACGTGACTGGAAAAATGCATTTCCGGTGCACGTAAAAACCGGGATGAGCTAGAAAAAAACACGGCAAACCGAGAGCGAAGAGGAAAACGAGAGGCACGTAAGTCAATCAGCAACTGGGCAGCAGCCACAGAACAGAACGAAGGACGACAGACCAAGGACCTAACAACTAAGTATAACCCTAATGCAATGCGGAAGTCACACTCCAATTTGGCCCAGGCATGGCGCCTGATTTTGTTGCTAACTGAATGAGTTACTTCCGCTTTGCCTAACAATTTTAAATAAAATCACATCGCACAGAAGGATTCGGGGCATGGGTAGGGTATCCTTTCCCGGCAACAAACTCGGACACTAACCAATATGGACAATGGTGTCTGGCGAGTGTGTGTGTGTATGAGCAGTTGTAACCATCTCCATTTTTTTTTTTTTACCATAGGATGTGAATGTGGATGTGCCTGGTAACCGACGCGACGCTGGCCTTTGAAATATTTATGGCAGCAACAAAAGGCCATAAAAAGTCGATGCCAATATGCGAGTGAGCCACGAGCGAATCTCGCCGGCCATTTGGTAGCCAATTTAATTCACTCCGGTCCAGATCTCGCCAATTTATTTGCCATGAACTGATTGACATAGGAAATAGTCTATATTTGCAAGTCCATCATAATATTATGTTACCGAAATGCGAACCAACAGCAATTATGTTCCCTGGGCGGGCGAAAATGAAAGGAAAATGAATCAAAAACGTATATAATGAGTGGGTGGAAAATTGTGCAAATCATTACACTCAATTAATTGCTTGGGCAAAATATGAATTGCAAAATATTTCCACGCTTGTTCACACAAAGTAAATAATGCAATTATAATGCGAAAGTAATTTAAACAAATGAGGGCGCTTTGAATTCCAATTATTTAATAAGCGCCGTTTTTGTTGATTTTATTTTTATTTTTTGCTACTTTTACAAATACATTTTCGAAATAGTTTCTGGCTTATCAATAACATTCAATCACAATCCAGTGGATAAAAACTTGTGAATGTTTGATAGCGAATTGCGTTAAGGGCTATGAATGGAATACCATCGATAACATGCTTTTTGCTCACCTGTTCACCTCACCTGTTCGTAGCCCCTCCTCAACCCCTTAGACACTCCAAAAAGCTGACAGCTCATGGGTAATAGATAGTTCCGTTGGCTGCAATTAACACCTTGCGAGCTGCACACAAATATTTGCCAAACTTATCGAACATTTATCACTGACAAGTGTGACATACAGCGATGATATGGCGGCGGGCGAGTCACGAATAGGGCATTCTGCATGTGACGACACAATCAAAGAGCCAGCTAAGTAAAAAGAGCTGATAGAAATTTAATATAGAAACAAACTTTTCCATTTGGAGGTGAGGTGATAATATGAAAGGCGGCTGAACTGAGGCTATAAGTCTGAGGGCGTGAAGTTCCAATCTCAGCGATTTAGTTACGCTTTTCGGCCCGACTTGTGACCACTTGGAACGCCATGCGGAATCGGAGTTGGAATCATTTCAGTTACTCGCCGTTTTGTGATGTTCTCCGGAAGACAGTTTTGTCGGCCACGCCGTCGTGTTTTCTATATCTTTGTCTTTTTTATATGTAATTTATTATTTGTGTTTCTATGTATCAGTGAATGGGGCTATAATGACCTGCCAGCCAGTGAAGTGAGTTAGTTACATAAAATATGTTACTAAATATAAGTCACCTCAGTAGAGTTTGTCCTTCAGCTCAACAAGAGTAGTGATCACCATCTGGATTATCGTGAGTTTATCTCTCATACTCCAGAAAGACCACGTGACCTTTACCAGTACAATCTTAGCTTGAGTGACAGTTTGGGAGTTGTACGTAAATTGCCAACCACAAGGCATTACCGGTAAGAAAATAAAACTTTCTTTAAAGTTCATTGTATTAAATTGATTTATTTTTAGTTGCATAACCCAGCCTTACAACCTTCCACCCCCCTTTGAATCCAATCTAAGTGTGGTGATCAGTTTCCACAACGAAGCGCGTTCGATGCTCCTGAGGACGATAGTTTCCCTGCTGATTCGCACACCGGAGGACTATCTACATGAGCTAATCATTCTGGATGATGGCAGTGAGGATGGTAGGCCGTTGAACCCAACCACCTATTAGTTTCGCACTTATTACTCCATTAACAGTGACCCTTCTGGATGACCTCAAGCGATGGATGGGCAGTGTGTTCTGGGCAAGGGATCACCTGGGGCTCATCTTACGCCGAAATCCGAGGCGCATGGGCCTGATTTGGTCACGCAACAGGGGAGCCTCTTTGGCCAGCGGATATTATGTGCTCTTCCTGGACAGCCACTGCGAGGTAAACGAGGGCTGGCTAGAGCCCCTATTAGAGCGACTGGCACTCAATCCGCATCTAGCAGTTAGTCCACTACTTGACCCCATTGACCCGACCACCCTGAGTTACCGGAAGGGCAGTGAGTTGCTGAAGGGCGGATTTGACTGGTCCTTGCACTTCCATTGGCTAAAACGACAGCTGGCTAACCACGAGCACCCAGAGATGCCCTACCAAAGTCCTGTCTTCGCTGGCGGCGTCCTGATGATGTCACGCGAATGGTTCCTTAAGCTGGGCAGCTTCAATTCGTTTCTGAAGGTGAGAAAACCTAATTAGCCAGTGTCAAGAGCTCTAATTGGTAGTGTCCAATGGTGTTCTCCTTTGTCACATTTCCAAGCGAATTCCTTCAGTGCCCCAGTTGTTCACTTTTATCCCTTGCAGATCTGGGGCGGCGAGTCCATCGAGCTGGCCATTAAATTGTGGCTTTGCGGTGGACAAATTGAGATCGTGCCCTGCAGTCGAATCGGACACATCTTCCGCCGACGCCACGCCTTTGACTTCCCACCGCAATTCGACCAGGAGTTGAGCTCGGCCCAGGAAACCTATCTGCAGTGAGTCCGAGGTCGGGGATTAGGTGTGAAATGGTCGCACCGCCTCTGGTATTTTTCAATTTATTTCAGCACAGCGTTCGGTCCGTTTAATATAAACATTCCAATCACATGCTGATTGAACTCTCCATTCTTTCTCCTTTCCTCCATCCTCAGTAACTCAAAAATCATAGCCGAGTCCTGGCTGGACGAGTATAAAAATATGTTCTACGCACTGAGGCCGGCGGCCAGGCGAATTCCATTGGATCACACCTACGATGAGATGCAGAAGTTGAGAAGGGAGCTTCAGTGCCATCCCTTTGAATGGTATCTGCGGCATGTCAGTTCCGAACTAAGGTCAGTACACTGAACACAAATATGATGATAGAGTGTGAATTTGGATAAATCCCAAAGTTTCCCAGATATTTTTGGTATCTGTAAATATTTCTTATAACCAACAATTTCTCTCTGTGTAGTCAGTTATCTGAGCTATTATTAATTTAAAAATAACTAACCCTCAATCAACTCGCAGGATGCACTTTGACGAGTTGTCTGCCACGGGAACGCTGCGGAATGAGGATCGCTGTCTGCATGCCACACAAAATGACACCCACTTGATCCTGGCGAACTGCTACCGCGGCGACATCACCCAGTGGAGCATGTTGGGCAACAGTGGACAACTGGCCAACCAGCGGGAATACTGTCTGGGAGTGGGTTTCAGGAGTCAGATAATATTAGAGCCTTGTGGCAGGAATGAGAGCACAAGGAAGTCACAGCGATGGATGCGCCTCGGCACTCAACTCCTTCACGCCGAGACGCACATGTGCCTGGATAATCCGCTGAAGGACCGATTGGAGATGAGCACTTGCCGTTCGAATGCGGCATCGCAGTCGTTTCAATTTGCATTGGAAATGGAGAGGCAAACATAAACTTGGCTAATGATACCCACCTGATACCTGATGCCCGCCGAACTGATTCGATGAGTCTGAGCCTCTTAGCTCCTGCGGCTGAGTTCGGTTGAGTTTGTGGGGTAAATCTCTTGGCATGCAGGTAAATCAAAATGCTGACATGTTGTGCTAATCTCTGTGAAACATTTCCGCTGCCGGAGCAACATGGTCATAGATTACACAAGCGGCGGCTGAAGGGAAACAGTAAATTATGGCGCCATAGATATACGGAAAGGTGCTCCGATGGGCCCGACTCCTTGCTGCCTTTTTTTCTGGCTGTTTTTGCAGCCTTTGTTGGCGGAGTCCGACTATCAAGACTCGCAGCGCTTCCTGTCGCATCCGTCACACAGGAGACAGGACACAATGGTCCTGGGGGCTGGCAGAAGGGGGGCGTGCCCAGATAAAAGCCAACGACGCCGCGCGTATTGTGCGGCTTGTTTAGGAGGCCCTGTCATCAGTCAGCGAACAAAAGCCCGGCTGCAAGGAGTCAGTTCAGTCGCAAATGTAATTGAGTTGATGACAATGCCACTGACTGCCCGGCTCGCGCTTCCGGCAATTTTGATGGCCTCCGGATGCCGGCGACAAAAAGCGGCGACTCCGGAAACAAGACCAAATAAAACAGAAACAGCAGCAGGAGGAGCAGCAGCGCCAGTGGCAGCAACATAAAACAGAAGTTCATGGTGTGGATGCTGCCGGAGAATTTCGAAAGTGCAGTTGCAACTTAAGATTTGTTTTGTTTCACCATTCTTGCGGTAATAAAGCGTAAAAGTTAATTTTGTATCTCAACAATGGCAACAAGTGTGTCCACAGGGCTGACAGTTCTGCGACTGCAATATTTCCCTCACAATGGCCGCCGCTCGCCATCTGCAGCTGCGCGTAAAAATCGCATTTTTCACGGAAGTTAATAAAAACAAAAAAGAGGACAGACGGACTTTGGCGGTGGTGACGGTGGTTGGGGTAACAGGAAGTCTAACAAGTTGCAGTTGCTTTGGCATCGGGTTTGGCTCTTCTAGTTTCCGGAAAGTTATGGCCGCCCGCTCGCGACATTTTATTGTCCTGCACCTGAAATGCAAGTAACAATAAAGCGGCGTCTTTCGTCCCCGGTGGACTGCCGGTAATAAAACGGCGAAGCACTAGAAAATTTAATTTTCTATAAAGTTTGTCCAGGTAATACGTCCTGGCTAAATTGCCTTGCCACTTTAAGAAGCCTTCGTCATTTGGTTAAAATGCTGCAGTCCTTGACTTGGATACGCCAAATTTGTATTGCCTTTTCAAAAAAGCTGGTTGCTTTTCGAAAAAGCTGCTTTATCATCGAGTGAACCGGACTGGGCACTGGGCACTGTGGCGCTCAAGGACGGACCTTAATTATGAGCGGTACCATCAGCCAGCCATGCAAAACTTGATTATTCATTTGAAGACTCATTTTATTATCTGCATAAATCTTTGCCGAACCCAGCAACCAACTTTCTGTTTACTTTGTTGGGGGCGGGCCAAAAGAATAAAAAAGAACGGAAAAAAGGAGAAAATGGAATCCATCATTCACTGGCGTGGCCGCATTTAAAACATCTTGATTAAAAAACTAAAAAAGGACTGGGGAAGCTAGAAGAATGGCGGTCGGTGAAATGGTAAAATGAAAGCCAAATGCAAACTCAGCGCATTCTAAGTGCGCCAGCGGAAAAACAAAAAGGATAGGAAATTCGCGAAAAGCGGGCTAAAAAAAAAGCGAAATGAGCGAAGGCTAAAAAACTTATAAGCCGCGAGCGTAGAGCGAAGTTGCGGAATAACCGCTGCCGGGCAGCGTTTAAAAAAGGATTTCAAAATTAACGTCCATCAGGCAGGAAAAAAGTCAATTTGAATGATTAAATAGCGAAAGCTGTGTAAAAGTTGTGTCGCCGGACCGCCATCGACCCCAAAAAGCCCAAACCCAGCCATTTCCAATCCAAATCCCAAGCGTTGCGCCCACCAGACCAAAAACAGAGAAAAAAGCGATTAGTGTGGTCTTTTGTGTGGCTTAAGCATCGCCGTTGCCTCCTTTTTTGGGCACTCTCAGGCGGATTTACATTTATTAATTCCCCCGGCAGCTGCCGAAAAAAGGGTCAGGTTTTCGGCCCGGGATATATACAAGTAAATAAAAACATGTGAACGTTAGCGCAAAAAGCGATAATCCATCATTTTTGTCACAGGTTGACTTCGGTGAACGAACAGTGGTGCAATATTACAGGTCACCTAAAAATGTATATATATTTTTCGTTATTTTAGATATTCTGAATGTGTTGGATCAATTAAACGTGTTGATTGATCTCTGAGTTCAAATCCAATCCTATTTATATCCAACCTTTGCCACCCTGCCCCACCCACTGTAGTTTCTTTAACGACACCGAAAAGTTCACGTCCCTGGCAGAGACTTGTAATCCCTATCGCATGATTATGCCAAAAATGAACCAATCCATCGCAGCACACGAAAAAGGTTAAGCTCGGTGTCCCTGCAAGATGGGTCCTTCAATCCCCGTGAGTGACTGTGTGTGTTTGAGCTTTGTGTGTGCGATGCGGATTATCATGCCGCCCAGGAGCACCCAAACAATTTTGACGCAATGAAATGATTTTGATGAAAAATTAAAAAGCATTTCAATCACGTCGAAAGTTTTCTGACATCACAGAAATTGTTGCTTCTGGCGTGGAAAAAGGGAAAATGCTGAGCGAGACCAAGAGACCGAACGGAATTTTGGAGAGTGTGTGGATGTGAAGGTTCCCAGCTCTCATGTCTGGCAGTCATTTATTTAGATGCTAATTTAAGTGTGCGCCAGGAATAATGCTTTCCATTTTTGTTAAAACGCTGCAGAAGTTATGGTTCAAGGTGATGGGTATTCATGTAGGTGGTTGGGGGACTAAAATGATGGTGCCTTTTATTTTAGAAAAATGTAAATATGTGAGCTGAAATGCTAAAATTTATTAGATTCGTACAGGAATAGTTTACAGAATCGAAATCCACCAAATATAAAATACAATTTCCGGTTCATTTTTACAGATAGCCGCAAAGTATGCAACGAAATTTAAAGAACGGACGCCCCCATTTTCCCTCGAAAAAATCAAGCAATTTTCCGCCATTGTTGGCCTTTTAAATAGGCAATGAAGGTGCATTAAGAATTAAAGACTTCATTAAATCCGCAGTACTGCACATTAAATAAACATAATTCCGCCAGTGCCTTTTGCTGTTTGCCTTGGCCATTGTCGCCGGGCGATTTCTTGGTTTATTTTTTTTAGCCGCTGTTGTTGTTCATGGTGCTTAATTCGCATTTAATCTCATCAGGTCGGCGACGTCCTCGTCAGGGGTGCAGTGAGCCATGGGCCCACATCAGCCCGGAATGCCGAGCGACAGCCCGCCGCAGATTTGATGGAGGCCACAGCTGCCGTTGACGCAGAAGCTGGCGTAGAACGACGACGCCGTCGACGTCGGCGTCTGGCGGTGACAGGTGAGTATTGCGTTGGCAGCGGCAATAAAAAGCATGTAAATGAGGCGAGGATTTAACCCAGGCCGGGACCAGGCTCAGATAGCTGCCGGCTGCGGTTATATAATGTTGTGACAAGCCGTCCCCGGCGACCAAAGGTGTAAGCCGTAAGCCCAGTGGATTTGATCTTCCTTACACAGATAAAAATAGGTGGCCTTAAAATGCTTATAATACATATGAAAAATGGCGGGAGTAATACAAATGATTAAATAAAAAACACTTCCTTGTAGTTATTATCTTTAGAAACATTTAATCATATATTTTTTAAACAAATCAAAATTTTAAAATGGTTTATCATTCATTTTCTTTTAGTGCATAACTGAGGGGCATGTACATGGGCGCGTGCCACTTTTTTTTTGTTTTGTCCACCTCTGCCGACAGTTAATCAGAGAAATTAAGCAAAGTACTAAACGCGGCAGAGCAGCGACGCCAGCTGTGCAGCCGACGAGGCTGACGACATCGCCCAGCCAGGACATCCAGCTGTGCAGGACAATGGAAGCCAGCGGGCGGAGACCCAGAACAAGTAGTGATTGCCCCGACAATTGCTGTAGCGCCTTGCCCATTCAACTGGGCCAACAGTTGGAGCAACAAGAGCAAACATTCCAGCCAGCTGATGGGGAATGTCGAGGAGGAGATGGTTGGAATGGCGGAGGAGGCATAGGAGGCAACGGCACCGGCGGCCACCCAAGCTTCTACACATTCAGACGCACAAAAACCAGCGCCGCTGGTTGTTGCTATTGTTGCCATTATTCTTGCTGGGATGGCTGGCGTCGCTGCTGGCGTTTGCCGCCGCCGCCGCCACTGAGGCATCGAAGTATTCCTCAACAAGCTCAACCAGCAATCAGTTGGGCGCTGGATACGAACGCGTGCAGTGTGGATTTTCAAATTGGCCAAAAATACTAGTATAAAATCAAAAAAGAAAAAAAATTCTGTACAGGCGGTTCCTCGGCGAAACAATCAACGGGAGCGGCAGAAACGGGTGTTTTGTTGGTTATGGCTATATAGCCCCAAAAATTTATGCCATTCGTTTGTCAATAAAAAAGCCCGAGAAACGTAAACAGAAGCGAAGCGAACGGAGCGAAAAGAAAGACATCATATTGAATTTATGGTGTAGGTGCAGCGACGTGGTTCTCGAGGATTCGAGGATATCCTGGTCTCCTTCTTGTCCTTGTCGACAGGGTGTGACACACGGCTCAGTTTGGTGGCGTCGGCGTCGATTTGCACGTGCCCTTACCTTTACCTTTGAACTCGCCCATCTACCGTTCTGTCTATCGGTCCTTGTGTGCTGTCCTTTTATTGTTGTCTTACCTCTTACCTGGCTACAATTACCGTTATCGGGCAGTGGCCAAATTGCTTTTCCCACCCGCAACGTTGTGTTACAATTCCGGTCCGGCTTCGGTTCCACACGGCGTATGCATTACGGTTTTGAGGGCTCCAGCTCCACGGTCGTCGTATTGAGCATGATAATTGAATTTCTGTGGCGGCTGCTTTGTGGAAATCTCCTAATTGGAAATTTGTTATTTGAGTTCGATGAACTGTGAACAAAAAACAGAGCCCAAAATTGAAAATGTGCCGTGACAATCAAGTGAATCTACCAATTGCCATTACAAAGTGATCCGGAAAGTTATAAAATAAAAAAAAAGCATGGAAAACATGGATAACTCAACAATGGTGGTCGACCTGGTCGTCAATTCTACAAGGAATGATGAGAACATGACCTCCTTCTTCACCGATGAGGAGTGGGTGGCCATCAGAGGTACTCTGCCTTGGATAGTGATTTTCCTCTTCGGCGTCATAGCCATCACGGGACTCTTGGGCAATCTGCTGGTCATTCTGGTGGTGGTCTTTAACAAGAACATGCGTTCCACCACCAACTTGATGATCGTTAACCTGGCCGCCGCAGATCTTTTGTTCGTGATCCTCTGCATTCCGTTTACGGCCACCGATTACATGGTCTACTATTGGCCATATGGACGCTTCTGGTGCCGGAGTGTCCAGTACTTGATTGTGGTGACGGCCTTTGCCTCGATCTACACGCTGGTCCTAATGTCCATCGACCGTTTCCTGGCGGTGGTCCATCCCATTAGATCGCGCATGATGAGAACAGAGAACATCACCCTGATTGCCATCGTGACTTTGTGGATCGTGGTGCTGATCATTTCGGTGCCGGTAGCCTTAACCCACGATGTGGTGGTAAGTAAGAGTGGGAATGGAAGTGGGAGGAGTGGGCCTGCTGTGCCTAAATCTGCTGTGAAGAACACGGTACAGGCAAATTTATTGCTTTCCATCATCGTCACCTCGTTAGATTCCTCACGCTGCACGTCAATGCTGCTCGGTTCTTATAGATAGATATATGGCTACATAGATGGTCTGCCTCGGTTCGAGATCGTAATCCAAAAGGTGTAGAAGACCCCTCTACCGCCCGATTGGATCGACTGATCCTGATACAAATCATTTGGTTTTACTATATGCCCCCTATTAAAGTTTCCCCTTTTTATCTTGTTTTCTGTTTTGTGTTTATATTATAAAAATTTGCTAGATGCGCGGCGCCCGATTTGTTTTTGTTACTAATTTGCTATTTTGAATTCATAAATTTTTAATTATAGACCAGATAGCCAGCGAGAAACACTTGCCAACTGGCGGTCTTGCTATCTGCCCACTTGCAAAATTTCAACTCAAATTTTCATGTAAATTCAACTGTTGATCCAGAAGCACGTAAATCATGGCCAGTCGTAAGTCGTAACAAGTGGTCATTATGGAAACTTTGCACTTGCAAACTTCGGGCGCACACTGCGTATGATAAATGTCTTCGCGGGTGGCGACCTTGGTGGGTCTTCTTTTGGACTTTGACTCTGAGCTTTTATGATCGATGCGAAAAGTGCGAGAAGCAATTTAATTGCAGAATAATCGGGCAAGATCTGAATTGTTTTCATAAGATCAGCGGGCTATATGGGCTTGAGTGTTTTTTTCTGATAAAAGATAGTCTAGACATCAGCTTAGATAATCTGCGCTAAATGTTTAAGCAGAAAATTCCCTCATTTGGTAGAGAAGTATGAACAAGCACAAAATATTTATGAACTTTAAGTTAATGTAATTAACTATCAGATTTCATCATTATTTAGTATCAACTACAACTTTGACGGACTGAGGTTATTTTCCTGTTGACATCACCAACTGGCCTGGGGGCATTTCCCCAATGATTTTCCACCGCCAATAAAGCGAATTTCGCATCACACACGACCAACTTTTTATTTGTGCCACTGACTTTTCCCTTTTCCTTGGCCAAAAGCGAAAGAGTCGCGGTTAATTAAACGAGTCCCATCGTCACATCGACGATGAGCTATTTTATCTACGAGATGGCAATGGCCCACTGTTGCTCTCGGTGTTGTTTTTGTAACCTAATATTTTATTAAATGGCATTTCACGCTTCGTTATTTCATTTTTTCTGTTTCGGTTGTGTTGGTTCTGTTGTTTACTTTGGGGAGAGAGGGAGAGGCAGCTCCAATGGGTCGCATTATTGTTTGTTTATGTGTTTGCTTTGTCTAAGGATTAAGCTGGAAAAATACAGGCCGGCCCAAATTGAATGCTCATATGTGTGCTTTGCTTTGTTATCTGGTGTGTGTGTGTGTGTGTGTGTGTGCGTGTGCAAATACAAAGAAAAGGGCGATAAAAAGGCATAATTAAGTCATGTTTGATCAACATGTTAATTAACAGTTTGCTATTAATTATTTCCATATTACATTGGCCACCACCAAGCACATATACCATACACATACTGGTAATGAGAAGGGCCCTCTGCGAGCGTGTGCCATTATCTTTTTATTGGAAATCGATAACTAATAATCATAAAGGCACATATGTCCGACTGCGTAACTAGATATGCGATCTCCAGGTCATGGCATTGATTGACAGCTGTTTGGCTGATTTCCACTCGGCTGTGGGCAAAGCATTAATGGCTTGTCAATTCTATTAAGTCTTTCGGGTTTTGTGGAAATCCACAACAAGCCGGTCAAATTAAACCATAAATCAGCGGAGGGTCTGGCCATTGATTTAACCTCGGCCACTCGAAGCTGCGCAGATTCGAATTTTCAACTCAATTTGTGGCCCAACTAAACTTGCGTTCAGTGTAACGAAAACAAGGGCGGGTAATAAACAAACGTTTTCGTGGCATTAACGGGAAGATTTTTTAAATACGATTTTCCACACGCATTCGATCGATCGACAAAGAGCGCGGCGAAGAGGCGGCAATTGTAAACAAAAATGTAAACAAAAGCCTGCAAATATTTTTACGATAGGCCAGGCAGTTTATGACCCTCCTAAGCGTCAGCACCCCAGTCTCGTCTAGCCAATAGCCCCATTTCCCCGTTTCCCCGTTTCCCATTTACCATCCTTTTCCAAAATCCAAAACTCCGCCTGAACAATTTGTCAGCCAAATGTCAGCGACAGAGAGACAGAGTGAGATTACGAGTTAGTTGTCGACGTCCGAACTATTCGTATGACAGTTTAGTTTTATTTACGATGTCTGGCTTTTGGCCGTCTGACGTTGCTTTGCTGCCATGCAACTGTCACTGGCAACATGACGTATGCGCAATATTCGATTCCCACACCCTTTTTCATTCCCCCATCATCGATTTCCGCAGGTGGACCACGATGTCAAGAAGAACATCACCTATGGAATGTGCACGTTCAAGCCGAACGACTACGTCACCGAGAAATCCTACCATGTCATCTTCTTCATCACCTCTTACCTTCTGCCCTTGATGATCATCAGCGGGCTGTACATGCGCATGATCATGCGGCTATGGCGTCAGGGCACTGGCGTTCGCATGTCTAAGGAGTCGCAGCGAGGTCGCAAGCGTGTCACCCGCCTCGTCGTAGTGGTGGTCATTGCTTTTGCCTCGCTATGGCTGCCCATCCAGGTGAGTTTCCAAGGTGATCAAGTATTACTTGACAAAAGTTCAGGAACTAGTTATATGACTTAAAAACGTAATATTCTTTCTTATATTTCTTTGGACAGCTTATCCTGCTGCTCAAGTCATTGGAAATTCTCACAACGGATACCCTCATCAAACTTATCATTCAGGTCGCCGCTCAGACTTTGGCATACACCAGCTCCTGCATCAATCCCCTGCTCTATGCCTTCCTCTCCGAGAATTTCCGGAAGGCCTTCTACAAGGTGAGTGGGTGTGGGTGCCATCGAGTGGCGAGATGAAGGGTCCTCCAATGGGCGACATCTGAGTGCTCGGTCAATATATCGATGATTCCTCGGCAAGCGATGTCGCTTTCCCAGCATTGTTTTCGCTTGCATTTCATTTGATGCCAACTTTTATTTGTCATAATTTTTAAGTGGGCCATATGTATTGATTTATTGACTGACAAACAACAAAGCCCTGCCTTATAGCTAAGTGTATGTATATTTGTTTTAATTTTCCGATCTATAAACATTCAAATACGCTCCATCGCATTTCCATATTCATTTCCATTCCTAATGAGATTTTAAATGAGCGAATGTTTTCAAATCAAAAATCTGAAATGCAATTAAATAATTTACCATTATAATGGACAGAAGAAAGCCAAATCTATCCATTGAAAAAAAACCTCTGCGCGTGTTTCCCCATTAAATTTCGATGGGCCTCGGGCAAGAGTTTTAATGAGTTAAGTGCGAAAAACGCGTATACGCCGCGTGGGCTGATCTTTGGCTTCACTCGCAGCATCAGCATCAAAATTTATATTTTCAATATAAATATGTTGAGTTTACAGAACAATTTCTGGCCAGGCAGCCGAGATGGCACATCAAACTGGATCATCATCTTCATATCTCTATTTTTAAAGCCAACATAGACGATTTGCAGCTGCTGGGCATTAACACAAAGAGCCCTCCTGCAACCCCTTCTGGCCCTTGGCTATGAAGCAGATATTTTCCATTATTGAATGTGTGGAAATCTTTTGTCTTGTCAATTTAATGAAGTGCATCGAAGTTGCTTACATAGGCATTGCCAGGGAAATTCTATTCTCTTGAATTCTACAATTTTCCATGAAATTGCACAATAATTGGGCTTTAAATTCTGTTGGCTATTTAAAGATATGCTCAAATTAGCAACGCATTGAGACAATGGGAAATTACAGGCTTTACATTTTTTCGGGGCTGGTCTTTTTATAGTATTCCCCACCCCCCATTTACCCTGCAAAATCATTGACGGTCGTTGACATCCGTCGGTGTCCCGCCCACGAAGTGAAAACAGACGGCTGACAGGAGGCCCGCAGTTTTTGGACTCTGTGCTCCGACGTGGCTCATTCCGATTCAACTCACTTTCGGGACGCATTAATTCTTTTGGTCAGCGGCCATTTGCATAAACACAAAAAAACGTTGCGGGACGCAAATCACTGGACAGCCACGCCCACCGCTGACCGCCCTCGCAGCGGGGGTGATTTTGCTTTACTTACTTTTAATTACTTTAGGGACAAACAGACACAAACGGCTCAAGGAAAAACAGCAGGAGAAAAGCAGCCAAAGACTTTGTACTCATCGATCGGCGAGGAGTCCTGCTTTCACCGTACATTTCCTTTCAATCATTTTGTGGCTTAATTTTAATATTTTAATTTGTTTTCCCGTTGCGGTGCGTGGGTCCTCCTCGGTGTTTTGGGCCAAGCTTTTGGCACTTTGCATATAAATTGTGTTCCTGGACTTAAACTGATGCTGATGCCGAAGCTGGTCTCTCTCTGTCTTGGTTTTGCCTTTCGCTAATTGATGTGTTTGTCAAGTCATTAAATTAGATTAATTACGTTAATTAAATTGCTGTGCCCGTTGTTTGTTTGGTTTTTACGCTATTGTTTCCGTTTTCGGCCCGAGCGTGTTTGGAATGCCTTTGTTTTTTAATTTCCGGATACCACGTGGTTGGGAATATGTCAATCTGATTAATTGGCCATCTGATTGGCCCTTGTATTAGGCCAGCATTTATTCACGTGCTGATTTCGTCGATTTCTCTATTGCTTTCTCCCATTTCACGCCTTAACCCTGATCTCATGAATCCTCATCTTGCCCAAAGAGCTTGCCATCCAAGAGGCTTAACATGTGGACAACGTCGCATCAGGATGTGAGTTCTGAGAAAACTACCTATTAAAAATCATAGTAAGGAGGAGTAAATCTTGGTTTATATTCTTAATTTTAAAAATAATAATAATCTCCTTCAGCACTAAGAACTGCTTGGCACACTTTTTTTTAATTTTTTAATTTTTTTCAACAACAAAAACTTATGCATGTTTCTTCAAATCCTTCTGAATATTACTACACTTTTAATTAAACATTGTTTTGTGAATATATAAGTGGCAAAGGCATAGCTAAATACCTGCTTTAAAAGCTTTCTGCTGTTGTCCATTTGACATAATCGAATAATGAGGAGAACACAGACAATGTGAGTGCACAGCGCACCTAGGAAGCCAAAGACCGTAACTGCCGGCGGTTCAAAGGCCGTAATTTATTTCCCCAGAGTATGGATGCCTACGGATGGAGTTGCTCTGTGACGAGGCACTAATCAACAATTTCAGGCAGTTCAATCAAAGCGCAAATTCATAAATCATTTATATGCAAACTCTCACTCCTAAAATCGGGATTGGGATCCAATCTAGTCCCAGCTCCCAGCTCACAGTTCAGTCGGTTGGTTGCCAGGCAACTGGGCCATTCGCTGCTTGTCTGCCGGCATTTCAACACCTCAAACCACTTTAATAATTGAATATTGAATCAAATCTAATCATTCAAATGCAAAGCGACGGCAACAATCGCAGCCAGAGGCCTTGACAAGGGAATAGCTTTCGCCCCATTTCCCAAAGCCAACCATTGCCACCCATCGACATCCCCGTCGTCCGAAATGCCACAGAAGTGACTCTGCATCAAAACACATCATTAATCAAATATTGTGGCCGAACTGTGAATTCACTGGGCCATCAGTACTTTATGTATTTTTAGCGTTAAATTCTGCCAATTTTCCATCACTTCCTCTCTCCTTCTGTTCCTGCAGGCCATTAACTGCTCGTCTCGATATCAGAACTACACATCTGATTTGCCGCCGCCACGGAAGACGTCCTGTGCCAGGACCTCCACCACAGGGCTCTAAGGATAATTTACTAAAAGGAAGCGAGGAATTTCGAAGGCAGAGCCATATGATTAACCTTCATTACGAGCGAATCTCCGAGAGTAGACAGAAAGGACAAATGCAAATGTTCTTGACAGGGAATCACATGACCAATGGACCAAAGGACTGAAGTGATGTTCTTCGAATGGCTAGATTTAAATATAAGAACTTTGTACATAAAATAGAATATAGAACTATAAACTAGTCATTAATGATTGTCTATTACTTTGCTATATAATAGTACATAGAGATTATTATAGTAATGATAATACTTATCGTAATAAAATGATTTTAAGAGGACTAAGGATTATACCTATTACAAATTCCCTTGCTGTAAGCCAAATTGTTTGCCAGTGTTAACGCAGTTTTAAAAGAGTATCATTGTAATTGTTATATAGATAATGCTTATCGGAATATAATGCTTTACAAGCTCCCCTTGGTGTAAGCCATATTGTTGACGATGTTATCACAGTTTGTTATTTGTGTAAACCATTAAAAAATTAACAAACAAGCAGCACATCACTTTGCCTATTTGATTTGCCCTGAATGGAGTTAACAAAATAGTCAGTTGTCAGCTCGGGGCTCATGGGGCAATTGCCCGAACTATTGCCAAACGCAGAAATGTATGCAAATTCGGCTGCTGGCATTTAAATGGGCATTTAGTGGTGCGTGAAACATGAAATTGAAATACTTCTCGAATATTCGCGATGCCATCGATATCATCCGCGGTGGCTGTCTGCTGCATTTGTGCAATCACTCGAAATCGTATTCATTTGCACAGCCACTCAGGCATTCATTTATTCTTGGGCCCCATCCACCGGAAGTAGGTTTTGGTTGTCGAGCGCTTGATGTACTGGCTTTTGACTTCTGAATGGCACGCAAAAGCCCAAGACAGCCAGTGATGTCATAAATAGTGAAACAGATAAAGAATGGTCTGTAAAAATGTTATCCTTTTTTGGTTAATACAATCAACAGCAGTAAGTACCTACGTCAAATATAGTTAATATAGAAAATACTTTACATACTTGAATTTACCTCTAAATCTATTTATATTTTTTGTAAATATTGTCAGAATGTGGAATGTCATATGTCGCTGAGCTCGTAATTGAATTTCCAGTTGAACTGCATTCAAGCCTAAAAACTTTAAGTTTTTTCGAATTTTTGCAAAAAAACGTTATCAAAAATTCAAAAATTTGCTTAAAATTAAATTTTTATTTAACAGCTAAAAATAATGATGAGCAGCGAATTTTTAGCAAGTCGGCAACACAAAATATTAAATAATTTATATGCATCTCATTTTTTAAAAAAATATATAAATAAATAAATTTATTCCATAACTGAAAATAGAATAAAATAACATAGAATAACATAGAATGTCATACCTCGTTGAACTCGCCGTAAAATTTCTAATAAAATTCAATTCAAACCTAATAAATTTATTTGTTGACCCATTTTTACAAGAATATGTGAAGTGATATTAAAAATGTGAAATTTGAAAAAAAAAAATTATTTTGGAAAAATGTTTAAAAAAGATAGGTATTTAAAGTTTTTGCAATAGGCTTACTTTTGAGTTATAACATAATTTTTAATTTTTAATTTTTTTCATCAAAAATTCAAAAAAAATATTATTTTTTGACAAATATCATAATTTTGATTTGATTTCCACCCAATAGGTCTCGAGTTCCGCACTTTCATAAAAAAAAAACTATTGATAACCTTCAACTCTTGATAAAATCCAGCGAGCGCCACTGGCTGACATCGCTAAATGACATGAGCTGTGCTCACCTCTTGGAGGTCCTGTGAGGCAAGCGAGGTCCTGACTTTGGCAGCTTAAGATGCTGATTGCATTTCGCTCTCCGCTGGCGACTGACCGGAATTAATTATGCGGTGTCCATCTTGTGGATCCAGGCTTATATATCTGTATGTACTACGTACAGGCGTACGAGTATTGGCTCCGTTTTCCGTGCTGCTGCCGAGCCACTCGCACTTTTGCATAATTTATTCAATTTTAATAAGCGGCCCCGTCTATCGTGAAGGCGTCGCTTTTTACACCAGGTAACGTAATTAATGCGTATCAGTCGCTGACAGGTTCCTCTTCGGCGCCTTGCCGACGTAATCAAAATTTCAAATGAGCAACAAGGAGTACCGGGCCCAGGTGTCCTTGCAAATGAGGCGGGAAAATCAATGGATCGATTCGGAAGAAGAGGGGCCAGGCTCATGGATGAAAGTCGGCAAAATAGGGCTGGGCAACTATTGGCGCCATAAACTTGCACGCTTCGCTGGCTAAACTTTTGTTTCCTTGTTGGTGCACTGAACAAAAAACTTACAGGTTTAAAGAAATATTAAGCAAAGAATATCCAAGATAAGGTTTGGGTATTGTGTCAAATTACATCCTGCTAAGGCAATCGAGAATAATATATATTTCTTAAACAATTGTTTTTCCTATGTGGTATAATTTTTTCTCCCAGTGCTTTCCTAAAACTGCCTTTAGCCTGAAGGATAAGTCATTTCCCCACCGAGAAAATAGCCAAACAATAACGCCAAAGCCGAATAGAATGACAACAACAGCAACAACAGGGTGGACTGCTTATGCTGCTGACATTATCATAATAACAATAATCATAACTGTGAGTGTAACAGTTGTCGCTGCCAGCCTCTCTCTCCCTCTCTCTTCCCCCCTTTCAGCTTAAAGCCATCTCGGTATTAAGAAATTGCGGTATATCCTGAATGTCGAACAGTTACCGTTACTTGTGGGCGTGTGTTTGGGGAACGGAATGGAATCGAGACTGTTACACTACTGACCTAGTCTTGTGAAGAAGAGAAAGTTAGAGAGCGGCTTAGGTCAGCTAAGAGAATGCAGGCAAAGAGAGCGACTCCGAAACGTGGTGAATTAAAAGTTAACAGCAGCAAAGAGAGAAATGGAACAAATGGAAGTTGAACACCACCCACGTAGTCTGCTTTTAGGCATTCGAGTCGCTGGCTTTTAGAGCGTAGGTCATGGCGGCCAACGGGTCGGCTACTCAACATGCCCACCTGATTTCCGGTCAGTCACACGCTGCTAATCCGCTGGGAAGAGGAAAGAGGGGGAATGTTTAGTAGATAGCAGGAAAGGGGATGAAGGGAAGACTTAGCCACTACGGTTCTTTGGCCAAATGAAGCGTAACCAAATGCTGATAGCCCAAATGTTGCAGTTTATGGCCAAGGCATTGGCCAAATTGCCTCTTGGCGTGCGGCATAATGGCGACAATAGCCACATTGTCTTGACACTGAATCAGAGTGCCAGAGCGAGATGGCACTAGCTGTGTGGTGGTGTGTGTGTGTGTAGCAGGGTGGGCGTGCTCGATTGCATAATGCGGTCGCGCCAAAACAGAAAAACAACTTTGAACAGCTTTGCAGTTCATTTCGGTGTGTGTGCTGCAACTTCCTTTCTCTTCCTTTTCCTTTTCCGTTTTTTTTTTTTATATTTTTCACCGGCTTTTTGTCGTTTCGCGTTGAACTGGCAAATTTCCGGCAAGCTTTGCATGAACACAAAAGCCATCTTCCTTCCTTGTCGCACGCACAATCAGACACCAACACACACACACAGTCGAAACGAAAGTTTATCTGTCAATTTCGGTACACAAACACACGCAGGCGGCAAAACGATAACGCACTGAGAGGATTTCTATACCCTGTAGGTGGGGTATGATGATCTTGGATGTTGTAGACTCAAATAAGACTCTATAAAGAATATATCCCTAATAAGAATCAAATTAAGCAAAAATGAGTTCGAAAGTTAGCAAATTCTAAGCACTTATATTTTAATAACGCAAAAGAAACCCATGTCTTACCTCCTTTCCAGGTCATCTCAAATTCAAGTAAGCCCCGGTTAGTTAAACTTTTTTTTTTCAGTCCAGCACTTCGACGATAGTTTGTGGAAGAAACATTTTGTCAACTTTAATGCGCTTCGTTGTTAAGACGGTAAAACGAAGAAAACGCTCAGGAGCCACGTTACATGTGCCAGCAAGCAGGTAAAAGCGCAAAAGTTCGAACCGATTTGCATATAGTTGAGTAATCCAAAAAACGAATTTCTCGGTTAGTTGGCAAAGTAGTTGGCTCAGCTTTTATGCATTTTAAAAATCAAACATCCCATTTCCATTTCCCCCCCTTAGATCATCCGATCGCCAGATCACGACAAACTTCCAAACTCGTTTCAACTTGTGATTTTATTTGGTTAAACAATATGGTTATTATTATTTTGATTACAATTGGAGTACGCAAAGAAGGAGGGGATAAAGGGTCTCTTGCATAATGGAATTTTTAAGTAATTTTGATTAGGAATTAGCCAGCAATTGGTTAAGGCGCATACTAATGCCCACTAGCGTCCTTTGGCCAGGTTCTATTTCTTCGCCCGAGCAAGCAGCGTCATAATAAATAAATGATAAACTTTACCCAAAAACTGACAAGAACATAATTTCCGTGTCCTGGCTGTTGGATGTTGGGTCCTTGGTGTTTGGTGTTTTGTTCTTGGTCCATGGTCCTTGTCGAAAGCCGCAGGAATTAATTGCGGGTCGCTCGCTGGTGGCCTCGTTAAACTTTTGGCCAGATTAGGAAGTGCAAGAGGTGCCGGGGTGAACATTCGTTTGCAATAATTTAAATATTAGTTACACATAATGTAAAGCATAAATTAATTTTGTATTCGCCAACTATTAAAAAACTTTCCACTCGCTGGGGCCTGGAACTTCAAGACGAAGAAGTACAAACGCGCAGAAGAGGGACATCCGCTTAAACTTTATCCGCGGCTCGGGGCAATTAGTTATTCACGCTTGCGCTTGTCTTTTGGGGCAAGTTTAGCCGCTGCCAAATCCGTATCCGTTGGATTTTTTCTTTACTGCGATTGGAATTAAACGAAAGATAAATAACTGGACCCCGAGGGCAGAACACCCATGATTACCATGGTATCGTATCCTATAGCATGGCGTTGCCTCAGAGGCTCTGCAACATCCGGCCATAGACTTGACTCCGCTCGAAGCTGGTAAAGGCCTCGCGGAAACGCTGCCGCTGCTCGCCACTCAATTTCGCATGGAAATCTTGTGCAGCTGTCACGAACAATGCAATTTCGTGTTGACCCAATTTTCGGGCCGCCGCTGGAGCTTGTGCCTGCGCCTCGGTTGTTGCCGCTGTCGCCGCTGCCACCGAGCTGGTTGCACCGATGCCGAGAACCAGCGGAAATAGTTTAATCAAATGCAGATTTATGGAGGCGGATAAAAAGATGACGCTGAGACCCCAGACACCCTGCTGCTCCGGCTGGGCCAGGAACGTTGGCAGGGTGCAGATCAGCCAGTCCTGAAGCATCTGCAGGTACGACGAGTCGATGGCAGACCGAAATACCTGCGGGAGAGAGAGAAGCAGATTGGAGATTGAAGAGCGGGTTAAGAGCTGGAACGAAATGCTTAAATAAAAGCCAAGCCGACAATACGGAAATTAAATTTTATTGTGCTGCTCGAAAGGTGCTTTCTCAGGGGCCACAAAAGTCGACAGCAGCAGCAGCAGCAGTAGCGGCAGCAGCATACTTTGTGGCAGAAAGTTGGCTAATGAAATTCCGCAGCCTGGGAATCCGGCCCTGCAAATGACAGTGCAAATTGTGCCGCTCCGGGATCCCAAGGATCCCCAGGTCCACTCCCATGGCGAGTGCCGAGCTTGCTTTTATTAATTTCCATGCACACGCACCCACTGGCTAACCTTGAACCTAATGAAAAAATTTTATGGCACCACAGTGGTCGCAGTCGCAGTCGTCGACTCAGTTGGAGGCTATTCGCATTGACCCACATACTCGTCCTCGCACACCTGCCCACTGGCCACTGAACACTGGACAGGGGCCAAGCTGTAGCCATGAATTCCATTAATTTTCAAGCTGCCAAAAATTCCACAGACGCACACGCACACACACATGTGTGTAAGTGTGGGAGGGAGGAGTGACCAGGAGTGGGAAGTTGGCAGATGGCGGCGAGTATTTTACCCTTTCGACTTGTGGCCAGGGCAAACATTAGCGCTGCAATGGCCCCATTCCGTTCCGGTCTCCAGGCAAGGACGAGGTCTTGGATCTGGACTCGTAAAATGAACCCTAAGGAATCTGTGTATATGTATGTGGGCTAGTAGGTGCCACGCACGAATGGCCAGCGTCTTTACCTTTACTAGATCTTTGGCCAACACTCACCTGATATACAATCATGGCAATAACATCGCCGTGCGGTTGATTTATGGCCAGAAACTCCTTTATGACCTTCGTCAATATTTCATTCGGTGGCACTAAATCACGAATAATTTGGCACAGCACTTGTCCATAAATCCAGGCGGCATCTCGAGTCGATGATTTAATACAATGCAAAAGTATATCGACTTTATCGTTTTGCTGGGCGATTATCTCCGGGTCATCCTGGACAATGCCATTCGACAGCTCTGTGTTCTCCAACTGCGTAGCCGAACCTAAGAGAAAGAGTAAGGCAAAAGTGTAAGTCACCCACAGACTGCAGAAAATGGAAAGAAAGTGAAACTTTCTAATTAACAAAGCAGCCTTCAAGCCAAATGCCAATGGCCATTATTCACATGCTCCGGGGTCCTTCACACGCCAGTGCTGTCACTGCCCCCTTGCCGCTCTATTCCCTTTGATTCCCCAGAACACACACCCATAAATTTGCATTTAAATTTTATGGATTTTTTTTTGAGAAACCTTCCGCTTTTTGCCAAAAACTTTCTCTCCTGACCAAAGCATCAAATTGAAAACTAAACAAAAAGCGAAACCAGAAGCTGAGCAGCAGGGCTGGCCACACACAGAGCCATAGATTAGAGTTGTTCGATTAAGCCCGCAGCCGGGGAAGGTCACCAAAAATAAATGTGCGTTCCTTTAGCTTTCAGGTGAAAAATGATGGCGGCCAGAGACCGCTGAAAGCCACAGCCTGTGTGCTGCTTAGTGTGGTTTAGCGGCATCGAATTATTTACAATGCGAGGTGGAGCGGTACCTGATCCACCTAGCCACCTTGCCCTCCTCGCCCAGAGCCATCCTTAACCCAAACCCAACTCATCCGCCGCCTTCTGGCCGCGCCGCCAACTTTGGCTTTAGCCTTTGTTTTGCAGCTTAACATTGTTGGTCGTGGCTGTTGGCCTGCGGGCAGCTTGTTTGGCTGGCTGTTGCCAATTTAGGCATTGTTGTTGCAGGCTTTGAACGGGGATGAAGTATGGCCAAGTGACCGTGGGGGCGGCCAAGCGGTCTATGGGGCAAGGAGCCAGGCGCCTGGCCACAATTATGCGCGCCACGAATGCCGCAGGCAATGCACGAAAAAAACGTACGAAAAAACCTAACAAACTCTAAAATTCGTTTAAGCAAGGGCGTGCTGCGAAAAAAAAATGTATTTACTATAAAAACAACAGTGAAACCAGTGGGAAACTTTGGTAAATCTATAATAAAAGCGGTTAATAATGCAAATAATTTCAAACCATTTACATATTCTGACATTAATCTGTGGTTAAATATCTAGCTAAGTTTAAATTATATAAAACTCAGTTTTTCTGTCATTTAAAACATTTAAGTAAACCAACAAAATGGAAAAGAATCAACCATTTATAATCATATTTATCCTATTTGAAGGCTGTTCTCTATACAAAGGGTTTGCTGTCGTTTTCCCTTACGAGAATTTTCCACCAACTGGGTGACCAATATTGCCGCAAATATTTATTATTGCGTTTTGCAACTTTGAGGGCAAATATATATACGTTTTTTTGCGACTTTCCCTGTTTTGCCGTTCCGCTCCTTTTTTGTAAGCCTTTACTCTCCACGGTTCTCTTTTTTTTTGTGTGAGGCAGGGCAACCTGTATTATCTTCGGCGACGCGGTCTTTTGTTTATTTTTCGCGTGGACTCCACAACGCTTTAAAAAAGCAAGCAAGCAGGCGGAAAAAGTGTAGGCGGCAAAAAAGCGTGCCCAGCAATGGCCAACTTCCGCTAGGATGCTTTCGGTACCGGGTCCCAAGCCAGGATCCTGCCTGGCTGCCATATTCGAGATTTGTGTTTGTGTGTGTTTGTGTTGCGGGGGCGGTGGCAGGACCCAAAATCGAGGCATTCGCCGCCATTTAGCGGCAGAAGTAAGCATCGCGAATGGGCTGCTACACAAACATTGACGTTTCTCAAAGGATTTGCGTGCTGTGGCCATGGCAAAAGGGACTCAGCAGTCGGCAATCCTGCGCACTGACAAAGTGCAAGGCAAATACGCAACGATCTGCTTCCAATTTCACAACCACTACTACCAGAACCATCTACCATCTACCACCTACATATGCATACCGCCGTTGGCATTCTTCGACATATTTGTGGAGCGACTTGCATAATTTCTGGCCAGGAGTGGCCCAGTCGAAAGCTGTGCTAAGTTTCCACGCACAGCAGGTTGAATGGGCATCAGTTCGAGGAGAGAGCACAACCCAAAGCCAGCGTATGAAAAAACCTAAGCAAATGTTCTATATTTCTTCCTTTTTTTTTGCTGCTAGCCTTAAAATGGTTGACGGCTGTTATTTTTTCTCGTTAGAGTACGAGAAGAGATGGTGCTGGAGGAGTAAGGGAATCGATTGGCTTCGGATGTTAAATGAAACGAGACTGAGCGGATTACGATTGACCCGCATCGAAACGATTTCCATGGCCATAGTCACCCATGTACCTTTAAACAAGAGAGCCAGCTAATGAACTAAACAAGAATGAAAGCCCATGTTGAATAAGCTGCATTCTAATCTTGAACTTTTATTGGTAAAGGGTTTTAGCTTTGGATATTCTCAGGTGTCCTACAAAACTTTTTCCAATTCAGAAGCGTAGATGAAGTGTCGTATTTTCTAACGACTTTCAACATTTGTAAGATCTAATTTCTTGACCTTTTTAAAACATTGAAGTGCTCTTTAGAGATTTTTGAAGTCTTGCAGATAAACATTGATGTTATGAGTACCTTATGCAAATGGTCTTGGCTTTTCTGGCTTAAACAGGGACCTATTTATGCGAAAAGCTGAACTGGTGCTCCCGAAAACCACTGAACTAACATTTTAGCACAAGCCAAATGAGCGCATGACAGGAGCGTGTGTGTGTGCGACAGTTGAAACGATAATAATTGTCCTGGAATTGCGCTAATAACAGCAACAGGGATAATTGTTGGCCAGCAGAGACAGCAGAGATACGCGTCGAGCAGCAGCCGAATCAGGAGCAACAGTCGGTGGAGTGTTGGCCGGCGACAGCAATTAGCCTTTCCCTGGCAAGGGCACACACACTCGCTATGGCACTGGCACTGGCCAATACCGATGCATTCATGGCCATAATGATCAGCGCCAAACTGTTGACCCGCAAACACACAAAGTGCGCCATGGCCATTCCAGCGAGCGCATTTAAAATCGGACAGTGGACATGGAACACAGGAAATCGGACGTGGCATCAGCCAAATAAAGGATATTGGGCGCGTAAAGAGAATAAAGTTCACTTGGCCAGAGTGTCCTGCAGACTAATGCCACCCCTTTAAAATTGTTCACTGTTCTCTCTTATTTGAAATTGGGAATTTCGGCTCGCCATTTCCCTTCACCCAAAACGCACTTGCCCTTTGTTCAATTTTCTTATAACAACAGAAACCCGTTCGCGGCCCATGCGGCATTAAATGAAATTACAAAATATTTCTGCATCCCCTTCCACCACTGCCACCCCACTCGATTTCCCTCAATTTGCTCCCCTATTTGATCTTGGTATTATTTTTGTTATTTTGTTATTTTCCTTTTGGAAAGCAAGCACAAGCCCTCGAATACTCACCCACATACATGCAGGACAAAAGCAATTTCAATGCCGGAATCGAAAATTTCTCATTTTCCATTTTCAGCAATTCGAGTGCAAGTTTTTCAATTTTATGTCGCATCTGCGGTGTGACCACGGCACCAGCTCCCGCCTCGGATCCTGCTCCTGCAACTCCGGTTCCGGGTTCTCCGACTGCGGAGTCTTTTCCAATAGGCTGGCTACCAGGAGACGGCACTCCGCCATTGACCACCATGCGCTCCAGGCCCTGGCAATGACAAAAAAAGATAAATAAATACAATAGGCAATATATATCTATAGTATATATGTAGGGAAAGAAAAGGAGGAGCGGCGAACAACAGCTCATAGAAATAGCAATGCGGCGGCTCTCGATTCGCTTTTGAATTTTTATCATTGCATACTTAAGTGGGTTTTTCAGTAATGGCCACGCTAATTGAGTGGCAAATTGTTATTGTTATGGCCGCTGTTGTCGCTGCGCGCCATTGCGCTTTCTCCCGCTTTCTCCGCCGCTCATGATGATGATGATGCTGATTCCGATGCCGATTCGGATCCCGAGTGCGGCCATCAAAGCAAAAGGCAGTGCCAACAACAAGGACATCATTGCTGGCAAAAGCAACAGCAACATCAGCATCAGCACCAACAGCAACAGTAAAAGCAACAAAATGAAACAATTGAATTGCGTGCAAATTTCATAAATTGCTTAAAAAGTCGAATTTAATTTTCGTCCGAACGACGCCCGGAAGTATGCGGGGCAAAAACAGTTTTTAATTACTTGCCGCTCGCCATATACTCGTAAACTGCAATTAAAATCTCAACTCTATATTAAATGGTGGCAAATTACGTTCGCCAACTGAGGAATTTCTTTATATAGCAGACAGACACACCGTTTAAAACAAAATGCTCTACTCTTTTTCATTACGCTCAATTTGGAAACGGGCTCCAATAGACCAACTCCCTCCCGGCCATGTGTGATTCGCAAGCGAGCCAATAAACATTTGGCTGTTGCACCTCTTGCCATTCGTTTTGTTGGTTACTCTTCCGTCAGTTATGACAGCACTGGTTGTGGTTCGTCCGCGTAGCTTTTTCTGTTCAAGGTTCGCCGGCTCTGCTAGCCGCCTGACAGTTCCGTTGCCGTTTGAAAATTGTCAATCAAAAAACCAATTAAGCGAAACGTGGGCTGCCCCGGCTAAGCCACACCAGACCGGCTGGGGAACGTTTACCCCGGTCAATGGCAGTCAGATTTGTTGGCCCGCTAGTCGGCTGACAGTTAGTAAGTGGCCTGATGGCGGCTAGACAAGGCTGACAACCATTTAAGTGGCATGCTAAAGTCCTTCCATGCTGCTCCTATCCATCTCTTACTTCTAGTTGGTACTCGTACTCACATGCAGAACGCAGAGATACAGCTCCTCGTTGGCGGTCGTCTTCAGGAATTTGTTGGCCGCAATGATTGTATTTGACAAGAGATGACATTGCGGCACGAATTTCGATGTCCACTCGATCAGGCTGTAATTGAGCGTCCAGACCAGCTTCGTGTGCTCCACGCTAAATGGCAGCGGGCTGTAAAGATAACCCAGAAATGTTTAGTGATTGCAAAAAGGATAGCTGCTGCTGTTCTCGGCATGTTTCCATCTAAATTAATTAGAAGTCTGACGACCGCAGAATTGCATCCGCCGATTCCCGTGGCCCGTGGCCAATGGCCAAAACTGCCAGCTCCCACTCCCTTATTGCTTTTCGCGCGTAAAATTACAAAATAATTAGTTCGGGCGAGCCAGTGGTGTGAGCTCCGGCTGCTCGCTGATTAGTTGCCGTGGTCGTGCCTCCCAAATCCAGGGCCATCCATTGATTTTATGACCAGTGTTGCTGCTGCTGTTGGTGCAATTTTCGCTGAGGTTTTGGCATATTGGTTACGCATACGCTGCGTATGCGCAATAAAAGTTGTTTGCACTTCAAAGCCAAAACGTAAAATTCGAGTTATTTCCTTCAAGGTTGCCACAGCCCTAGTTAAAGCTTAAGTTTTGGCGCAGCTTCCCCAAAACTTGTCAAAAGACAAAAACAAACTTAAGCGCGGTTGAGGTGAAGTCTATGAAATTCCATCAAAAGCCGCGAACGAGGAGGCAGCTGCTCAGCCAATAATTAGAACTTACTGGCGAGCATAAACAAGCAAATGCAACGTAAACGCTAACAACACCATGGCTCCTCCATTGATCAGAGGCTGGGTTTGACTTTGGAAAATCTATCGAGAGCAGCGGCAAAGTTTCAATGGCCATGGTTCATCGATGTTCTGCACGTTGTCGAGTTATGGCAACTTCCTCTGCCGGCATATCCTTTACCCAGAGAGGAGGGGCTCGAATGCTTCCGGCGCAGTCCTTGAAAAGTTTTTGATAACACCCTAAACAAAAAGGGGTGGCGGCCAGGTGGATTCAACAGTGGCAAAGGCAGAAGCAGCAACAGCAGAACATCAGACCACAGAGCCCAGATGCCGATGAGCCAAGGTAACTAATGCGAAATGAGAACTTTTGCCATTAGTGAGTGGATCTGTGGCACAGATATAGACATGCCAGGAGCAGCCGCAGGAGTTTGGAGTCATGGGGAAACCCCACCAACCGATTTGATGAGTTTCCATTCAAGATGCTACCAGGTACTAGGTATGGCTTTCGACTTTCGAGTAAGTTCCACTTTCAATTCAATCCGAGGGTAGTGCAAACAGACCGATAATACCAACGAACCCGATGGATGAGAGGGGCTGTTAATTGCGCAGAGAGGCAAATTATGGAGAACAGAATCCGGTTTCGGCTTCCTACTTCCCACTTCCCACTTCCCACTTTCCAACTTCCATATCCTCCATGGACAGACCCCGGACTCACCTCTCATCAATGATGCCATGACGATTGATGTAGCCCACAATTAGGGCTCGCAACAATGCCAGCTCTTCGCTGAGCCGTCCCATTGTCGTATTGGTCTTGCTGCAGCATTCCAGCAGACAGAGCAGCCCCTGCAACGTGGCGATGCGTATGAAGCTGTGCGTGCTCTTCAAGTAGACGTTGCCAATCAAGGAGCACAGGACTTGCAGCTCACCCAGGCTGGGGATCAGGAGGGCCTGGCTGCGGCACAGTAAGTAGATTATATGCTGCAAAGTACAAAGAACATTAGCAGTGAAAACAATAGAATGCCAGGGTGGAAACTGAAGAGAAACAGGTACAAAGAGGTGACCTTATAGTTATTTCTTAACGTGTATCCAGACTCACCTGATGCGAAATAGTATCGTCCATGGCCACATGCTCTTGGAGCTTGAGACATCGCTCCTTAATCCATTTGATGTGGTCCCGACTCTCGCAGATCTCGCAAAACTTTACCAAATTGGGCAGCACCAGGATGTGATTCAGCTGTCAGAGTATGGAGCGAAATGGCAAAAGAGTTATGGCAAGTTGCAGCTGCAAATTAAATCACTGCCAGCTCAGAACCCCCAAGGATCGCCCTAAAATCGCAGTAGCCTGCTGCACTGTAGTGCCCGCAAAACGGCTGGCATAATCAAATTAAAACCCATCGAATGGCCAGTATGCGATGTGCTATGTGCGAATGCTGGCAATGCACAGGACGTGACTGCCGCAAAAGTTTGACAGGACTTACCTCGATCATCTGCTGCAGTACGTCAAAGACCAGCTGCGTGCTGCTGCGAAAGTCAATTCCCGACAGCTGCGTAAAATGGCGATAGTTGCGCATTGCCATGTCGGGCACATCCGCATCGCTGGACTGCTTAATGTCCGCCGCGTTTGACTGCTCCCCGCCGGATAGGCCCACGCCCACCGCAGCCTGGGCCTCCATTTGGGCCCAGCTGAAATTGAGATCATACTGATTGGCCGCAAAGGTGCGTGTGCCAATCACATTGTCGTGGTTCAGCTGCCGCTCTAGATTGGGCTGATAGAAGACATTGCATGCATCCACCAGCAATTGCACCTTGTGCAGTTTCTTTAGGCTGAAAAGTATACATATTTGTAGGTTTTAAAACTGATGGATGTGTGGGAAAATGTCGGGTTGTCGGTGGCGATAAAGTAAACGTTATTGCTGCCAACTTGTATCGATTAAATGGCGCATACGCACTGTTGACAGAGCAGCCGGAATGGCAAGTAAAAACTATTTGCTTGTAATTAAAAACTAATTTATAAAGTCAACATCGGGCGACAAGGATTTGTCAGAGTTTCGTGTTACCCAGAAAAGCCAACAGCACACACACACATTTAATCTCGCCAGATACTCGTATAAAAGAGCCATTGCTGGCCAGCTAATACGGAAAATATGTATTTCCCAAATTTCCTGGGGGTTGTCAACAGAGTTTTTGATATTTCAGCTTCAGCTTGCTGGCTCTCAACCCTAGTTTTTCAGATTTTTGGACGTTCCGTTCCAGGCAATTGAATCGCGTCGACGACCAGGAGACATGAAAAAAGAGTTTGGCACTCGTTAACTTTTAAAATTATTTTCATAATTCATGTGCTCACGTCACGCCATGCCATATAGTCATATAACATATATATATATATATGCAATATTCGTGGTCCCATCGACAAAGACTTTTTGTCGCTTTTAATTAAAAACGCAGACATTGTAAAAGCATCCGAAAACTTGTTTACCAAATTGTTTTTGGCCGCTCCCATGTTAACAAATTAGTTGTGCATTTAAAGTTGAAGGATTTTTTCGTAATGGGGAACGATATAAAATGTGCCATAGCACAAAAATCAGGATATACTCGTACGTACACGCTCATTCACAGACTCAACTTTTGCCGTTCAGTGTCGTTCGCATTTAATTTGTACTTTTTGCCATTTACACATTAAAAACTTTACCCACTGCTGTGCTCTGTGTGTGAATTTTAATTTTCATAAATTTGTGCCCGAACCCAAGAGCGAAACAAACGGGAACTCACCTAATGCTGTCACAAGTGATGCGCTGCCAGCGAGTCGTGTGATGGAACTGTCCATTGGCCTGGCCCACAATGGGAAAAGTTTTGTACGTCATTAAAAGTTCGAGGATGGCCTGCAGGCAGACCTGCTTGATCTGGAACTGCTCCTGCTGATCGACCATGTGCTCATCGTACACCTTATTGATCAGCAGTAGGAACGTCATGAAGTACTCCTCGAATTGCTGGCGGGTGGTGTAGCCAAAGATGGAGAGCCTGGAATCAGAGAAAATCAAGAATCCAGAGTGGCTATGAGTGTCAATTTAATTACCGACAGCCGGCTGCTGTGCGTCTGTATAGGAGTATTTGTGAGTGTGTGTGTGTGTTTGTAAGTAATTAATTGAAAATTGGAAATTTCTGCATAAAATGTTTTCAGCCAATGCTTGAAATTTTAATTCAATTAGTCCTGGCCTCTTCAAATATTTAAAATATGCAATATCCTCGTACATGCGAGCATATACATATTTTCCATCTACTATATATATATATATATATATACGATTATATAGTAAAATGTGAGCTGGCCTAAAATGTCAATTAGTCTTCGATTACTTTAGGCAGTCGGTGAAGCGGCAGTGGCAGCTTCATTCCACCAGCCAACATCCCTTTCGTAATGGAGCCCGGGGTGCTGCTGTGCATCGTGGTGGTTTCTGTGCAATTAGCAACAATGTTTCTGGAGCAAAGGCAGCCGTCCGCATCCGCATCCGCATCCTGGCATGACGTGCCTTTTGTTGCCAGCCATCTGCAACACGCACACATGCATTTATCTCACTTTGCTGCTCATAATTTGTTTATATCGCTCGCTGCCTCGACGGCGGCTCTTCCTGCTGTGCTGTGTCTTTTAGCCAGCTTTTATCCCCCAACCCTGCCTCTGCTACTCCTGGCCAAAATGCATGCATGTCTATGCTAGTGATGCTGATGCTGATGCTCATACTGATCCTGCGCAGAGTTTCGTCTAATAGAGTTGTTGATGTTCCGCTCCGTCAGCCCTTTGGGGATTTTGTCGTTATCATCCTCGCAGCTTTCCTCGCTGCCGCTGAAGTGACTCCGCTGTTTCCCCCCCCAGTTTCCCCTGCTGATGTGGTTTTGATGTTTGTGCTCTTGTCGGTCGGCCAAAAGCCAGAACAGCCAGAACTGGATTGGCTTGCCGGTTTTTGGGGCGACAAAGTGCGAGCGGAGTGCAAGTATGCATGCTTTTTAGGGGGAGGTCGCAGAAGGAAGTCAAGTTTTAGGCTCCGGACAACCAACAGCCAACAACCACTGCCAGAGACATCTAGCCGTGTACAATTATTCCGCCCAATTCCTGGCTGATGACGATTCAGCTTTTGGCTTTCAGCTGACAGCGTAATGATGACGACTGCCATCGAAACAATGGAGCAATAGCTATAACGGCTTGGGGAGCCTGTCAAGTGACAAGGACGAGGCAAACAAGCCAAGGACAATGACGATGACAATGAAGTCTTACGGCCCGCACTCCTACATATGTGTGCATGTTTGGATGTTTGAATTTGGATTTGTGCTTGTGTTTGTAATAGAACAACAGGATGTTGATGTTTCCAGTTGCGGTTTAGCCGTCGTCGTTGTTGTCGTTGCCATCCTCATCATCGCTCCATGTAGCTGCCATGCGCTCGTCAACGCTGTCAGGGCATTGTCAGCAACTTTGTTGTTGCTACCGCTCTGGATCTGGATGTTGTTGTCCGACACAATGACAACGACAGCAGCGACACCAACAGCAATAGCCACACCAACAGCCAGGACAATGCAACAGAGCCTGGCCGATTGATAAGGGGAAGCGACAGTTGACCAGCCGGACAATGGAGCCTACGGCCCAGGTGACGGACAACCAACTTGACTGGCTTAAGGTGAGATCCGAAAGTGGATTTAATTAGCAGGTTGCATAGCACTTGATTTCATACCATATTGGCCAATATTAAAACGGTAGCTATCATAAGGGGATAACCTATAATAATGACCTATAATCTGTTTCGGTATTTTGTTAATAATTGTCGTTACTTACCCTTTATCCTTTCCGAAAACGAGCTATCTTATTTTTAAATTTTCACCCTCCATATTTCAGGCAGACTCACACTCACCTCTTGACAAATTGGCGCAGGATATCCACATCGCTCAGGCTGTCCACAGGAATGGAGGGCAACTTGCCATCGGCCTGTTGCTTCTGCTGCTGCTCCTCTGGCTGCTGGATGAGCTCGTGGGGAGTGACCGCGTAGGCATAAAACTGGTGCGTTCGCAGTAACGAGATGCCAATGGAGGCAACCAGCGACTTGGGGTGAAAAGAAGAGGAAAGAAAATGGAAAGTGCTCCTGGGTCGGACTGACAAATGACCAGGCGAATGTCACTTACCAATGCCACTTGGAACCGGGCCAGCTCCTGCCCTGCGAACTGCAGTCGGGCATCCTCTGTGCCTGCCAAGACCCTGCCGCTGTCCAGGGACTCGATTTCAATTTGCGTTTCAATCAATTTGGCCAGGAAAATCGCCTGCGGTGCCGGTCCCTTGGCCTTGTTTCTGTCCGGGCGGTGCTTGCGATAGAAAATGGTGTCCTGCAGAATGCAACGGGCCACCGAGTCCAGTAGATCGAGCAGTTCACATCGCAGAGCCGAATCCAAACTGGCATTAAGCTCCCTCCAGATGCGTGGTTGTTGCAAAAGTGCATCAACGGTGGCCAGCAGCACGCCCAAGGCGTCTTGTTCCGACTCCTGTCGTGTTGGCTTGACCAAAATCTGTTTGGCCGCACCGGCCAGCCATCCAAGGTAGGCCAGCAACTGCGGCTGATGCTCGGGGCGCAGCAGGTGTTCAGCCACGAACTTCTCCATCAGCCGGGCATCGATATAGATGAGTGCTGTTTGCTCCACATTCCGAATGCCGGCCATCAGCGTGGCCACCGCCCGGGCCACATCCAATTGCTCTCCGCTCGGTGGTGACTGCTGTTGTGTGGCCTCAGTGGAAGCCACCTTTGCCAGGAGCAAGGAGCAGGATACACGAGCCAGCGGCGGCGGTTGCATGTAGTTGATGTGTGGTGCATGTTGGATGCACTTTTGCCGGAAGGAGGACATCATGGCAGCCAGGGAACCAGCGATGGCGTGGCGCAACAGCCTGGCCTCCTGTTCTGGTCCCAAACTTCGGAGCAGGCGGTGCAGCTTTGGCTCCGATTGGATCTCCAGGAGCAGTAGCATAAGCTGCTTTTGCTGCTGCGGAGCATCCGCATGTTGGGTGGCGAATTTGATTAGCTGCGGGCGGGTGATGGCGTTGGAAAAATGTTGTCAAAGGGATAGAGGATGGTGGGTGAAGTGGCAGTAAGAAGGAGGAGGAAAAGAACAACAAATTAGCTGTGGCAGTGCCATAATGGCCGAGTGCTTGTCCCATTTACCTGCGCAAAGAGCCAGCTCTCATCAATTATGCGCGACGGCGTTGCAGTCTCATTGTCCTGGCGGCACTCCAAGTCCTTCAGACTGCGATGCGGAGCAATGAAACATAAATAAAAGCATCAAGGATAATGAGAGTCTGCTGATCCGAACTTGGAGTACTCTTCGGTTTGCTTTCAGTGTGTACTCGTTGGCAAGGAAGGGAAACCACTTCGCGAGGGTGGGTCGTACTTTCAATTCGTTAAATACCGACAAGGGTGGAATTTTATATTGTTTTCATTGAAGGAATTCAATGATTTCTTAACTTTCTTCATTATTTGATTCTATTCCTGATACTTTTTATTGATATTATTATTAAAAGACCAGAAATTGATAGTCACTGACCCACCCCAATGTGCAGCAATGTAATCAACTGAATATAAATTGCCATTGCCTCGGATAAATAATTGCAGGGGTATTACTTACAGCAGGGTTCGCAGGGCGTCTTGGTCCTCTCCGCCTGCCAGATCTCCCTCGACCAGCCGTTCGTAGATGACGTTCCTGGCGGCTGGGCTGCTCTGAGCGCTCAGTCGACGGGCCAACCGTTCCATAGGCAGCTGCAGCGAACGTTGTCCTTCGTGCAACTGATGCAGACGGCTAAGGAGTTGCAGGGCTTGCAGTGTGGGATCCCCATCGCTGCCAGCGTCTCCAGAGGCCTGCCGTTCAGCGGACTCACAAAGACGTCCCAATAGTCGAAGGACGATGCGAATGGATTGCTGGCGGGTTGTAAAAGAAGGGAACGAGGACGACAACAGGGCGGATGAAATTACGCGCTTACACAAAAGCTAGGCAGCTGGGCTTTGTTATGCAAAAGTCTTTGGCAACTTACCCTACTCAATCGATGGGCATTCCGGAACAAGGCCACCTGCAGTAATGAGCCGCACTCGGGACGCTCTTGGCATAGCTCGCCGAGGAATTCCAAGTGGTCAGCAATTAGGAAATTCAGATACCTTCCGTCGAACAAGCGGCGCACTTGTTGCGCACTCCAATCGCAGCCCTGCAATTAGTGGACAATCGTGATTTGTTCACGGGTTCACAAGAATGGGAATTGGGAATTGGGATTTTGCCATTAGCCAACAAGTGGCGCATGTTCGAGTGGCAATCATTTAAAATTATGCCCGCCAATGAACTGTGCTTAAAGTAAGCCAACCGTTTAAAGGCTCACTGACGCCGGCGGGACACTGAACCGAAAGCCGAAACCAAAAACCCGATGCGGTGAACCGCAAAATTGCGAGTGCGACAACTGTCAGCTGGAAAAATTCGCATTGTCGTATATGGTTTGGGCATCCGGGGGCCTGGGAGGCAGGCGGCTGGCGGCCCGGCAACGCTGTCGTCTGCCAAATTCAAATTAAACTAATGTGTCTGATTTGCCATTACTCCGCCGTCCTCTCTTTACTTAGCTACACTGGGAAAATAAATAGCCAAACAGGCTAAACAGACAAACTCGCGAACTTATAAATCGTCTTAGTAAAAAAAAACTTTCCAGGTTCTTGAAGTTTTTGAGTTGGAAACTTAAAAGATTTTGTATCTGTAACTTGTCAAAAGATTGAAAAAATAATGCCCCTAAATTGGTTTTGATTACATAATTACCTAGTTAATAATTTATAATTTTCAAATCGATTTTTCTTTCACTTTACTTACCACATTTGCACGACAAACTTCCCGTAGCAAGGCTCGCTGCAAGTTTCGTTTCAGCGGCAGCTGGGCGGCGTGTTCCATGAGGGCCACCGGCTCCTCCAGCCGCATGGCCAGGACCAACCTCAGGCAGGCCAGTAACACGGCATCCAGTGAGCCGGATCCCCCTTGGCCTGCGGCACTCATCAACAGCAGGCCATAGTATTTGCAGAGAAATTCAGACTCGGCCAAAACCAAACGGAAAACTGATTGAAGTGCATCCTTGTGACGCGAGCGGCAGCAGACGTTGTGCAGGGCGTCCACGAAACGCCCGGCCAGCTTACAGTAGGCATGGCCCACGGAGGAGGAGCAAGATGAGCCGGGATCCAAGTCCAGGAGGACATCCATACAGGCGAGCAGCTTCTCGCTGAGAACTTTGGCGAAATAGTTAATTTCGCTGATGGTCGATCGTCCGGCGGAAGAGGCTGAGGCGGCCGCTCTGGCAGCTGCCGCTGCCGAAGACGTCGATGGTGCCTCGTCCTGCCAGTGAGGAGCTGCCGATGCCCAGCTGGGCTGCAAGGCCTGCAGACGACGCTCGGCCATTGGATTATTTTTCAAATAAAGTTTTATGTGATTCACTAGATAAATTTCCTCGGTTTTAAGGATTACGTTGCCCAGCATAACCATGGCCAGAGCTAAATCACCAAAGTTGCCGACGCCCTGCAACAAAAATGGGGAAAGAAAAATAAATAAGGGGAAAAGTAAAAAAAGATGTAAGTTCGTTGGCTGATGACTCCTTTCGTTGTTGACCGCCAGTGCAGTAAAGTGTGAAACTTTGCATAAATTTGTGTGACAAAGTTGCCAGTGCCAACATCAACATATTTTCCGGCAGTAATTAGAACGTAGACCCATCCTGCACATGTGGCGAATGCAATTCCATTTGCGACTCGGACCCGGACCCGCTTGCTGTGGCGTACAACATTTTAAATGAGCTTTTTTTCGAAATACCTCGCGTTTCTTCTCGAGTCAATGTTTACACGCAGAATGTTATTTAAGTTGCGGTGCAATTTCAATTTCAATTAAAATACTGCCGTCATAAACTAGTCACCTGCATCCCAGCATCCATCGCCAGCATCCCACATATAAACACCCTGGCAAATAGGAGAGGCGGGAAGTCCAAACTTAATTACTCATGCCACCTGAGCGGCAGAGACTGCGTTAAATTCTGTTAATTTCCCTACCCAACTCATCTTTTTCAACTCTTATACATGTCCAAATTAAATAAACGATAATTAGTTAAAGTTTTTAAGCTGTGCGCATAACTTGCAAGGTAAATGAAGTTGAATCGCCGTCGGCAGTAAAGTGTCAGGTCGCCATTAATACAAGCGATTGAGGAGGATGGGCGAAAGTTGGTTGGTGACCGGCGGTCAAAGCCATTAGACACGTGGATGCACGGGAGTCGAGTGGAGTCTTCACATGCAATTGACTGCCTACGACAAGTACTCGACTCGAATACCCCGAGAACCCGAAGAGCCCGGAGTACCGAGAGTACCCTGAGCACCCGTAGAACCAACACACGCCCAGCTGTGCTAGTGAGACTGTGTAATTAAGTTGGTTTTAACTGTAGCATAACGGTTGACTGGTCTATGGTGGAGGGTTGGTATGGGCGACATGGGTGGCTGCCGGGGGGGGCGTGGCTGGCCCTAAAGGCACAAGCTGCATGGCAGGCAGACCCGACAGTTAATGCATGTGTAGCTTAAATGCGCATTAATAGTTGAAAATGTGCGGCGTTGAAGCGTAGGTATTAAAAATGTCACGTATACGACATGTGGCACATTAACTACAGCGCCACATGGATCAGCAACAGTAGTGGCAACAGCAACAGCAACAGCAACACCAAAGCGAAATAAAAAATTGCCCCGTAACTGCAACTAAGTGCATTCGTGTGTATGTAAATGGCAAGGGTTGAACGGACAGACCGGCAGCAGCGGCAATGACAAATCGTTGATGAGCTTCTGAGGGTCGCCAATGGCCTACAGGTGTTTGGATAACTCTTTTGTATATAACTATATAGGGTATATATTGCCTTTAAGAAGACTCAAATTCGAAACATTCTTTGATGGAAGCAGGAGTTGTGAATATAAACTGATGAGCCATCGCCAGCAATCGCCTGTCATCTTAGGAACATCGAACATCGAACATCTGCCGCACGGCAATTTAATGTCATCGAGTTCAATTTATGCAATTGCAGGCGTTGGCCCTAAGTACCAGTTAAGTCGCACGGCCATCGTTGCCAAACTGAGAGTGTTGTAATTTGTGGCATTACTTCAATTATATTATTAAGTGGATGCCAGGCACGCCCGATGACACCTACTCAGGACATTCATATGTCATTTGCATTGGCAACTTGCCAAACCGTCGGCTGATAGACAGCTCAATGTTCATTTGCATGTCGGGACCGGATTTTAAGTTTCTGTCTGCATTCATAAATATTACAAATTTCCTGACGCCTCCAAGTGTGTGTGGGCTTGTATATTTAAGCAGGCTTTTCGCATATTTATGAGTTCAATCGAGAGAGAAATTGCGGATAGTGGACGGAAACGGCAGACAGTGGATCTGCCGGAGTCTTAATGTACGCCGTAATTGAGGCACTGACGGGCAGCTGTGAATTGGCTGAGTGCTTTGTCAAGTTTTAGGCCACTGCATATTTAACCCACCTGCTCGATGAAAAGCTGCAGCAGCTGCAGGAATCCCTTGCTGTCGGCCAGCACATGGTTGCCATTGTTGCGGAAGCAGCTCTCCAGCAGCCGCAGATCTCCAACGGAGTTCAATCGCCACTGGCGCGAAAATAGGCCACGGCACAGTGTCCCGTACACCGCGTCCGCATCCTGGGCACTGCGATACGGCGGCGTGTCCAGTTGCTGTACACTCCGCTCGAAAAGTAAAAGGAGGGCCAGGACCTGTTGACTCGGTCGTGCCTCGATGAATTTCTCCAGCATGCCCAGCACCACTTCCCGTTGGGTGTCGAGTTCGCGTCGTTGCGCCAGCAAGGCCTCTCTGGTTTCCGGCGTGGGCGCCGCACTCAAAGGACTCTGGCACGCCGTTCGACCTGAGCTATGGCCCTCGGTGTCCAGCGCCTCCTCCAGCTGACTGTGCATAAAGAATAGCTCGTAGCTGAGGGTCTTCAGAGCCAGCAAAGCCACATCGCGCACTAATCCGTTGGCTAGGAGATTGTTGGTGATGCTGATGATCTTGGGTATGGTGATCAGCTGCCGGTCGCTCTTGTGGGTCAGCTGCACCAGAAATCTTAACATGGGTGGGACAATGATGAAAGCGTTTCTGGAAGGATAGATAATAGTTATAGGTTTTAAATTAAGTAATAAGACTGTTATATTTATTTAACTTTTCACATTTCTTTCTGTAGCTCTACTTACCTATCAATCCCGCTTTCAATCAGATCCATGTTGCTTAGAATCTGGTCGAAGATAACATTCTTGGAGTCCAGTATACTGTAGGTAACATTCAGCTCCAGCAGTTGGGAGAGCAGCTTCAATATGGGTGCCTGGATCAGGGCATTGGATTTCATGAAGAGCTGAAAGGGGGTAGGGGAAAACAAGAGATGGGGTATAGCATGTACCTGCTGGAATACTAGTGCTCGGCAAATTTTTGCCATTAATAATATATCAATGGTTGCACTCTGAACCCACCCACATGCACAGTCACACACTCACACACGTAACAGATTAAGGACTGCTCCCCAGGATGGTTGCTATTCGTGTCTGTGCATTTTTAATCAAACAAATTGGCTACAACTAAAATTAATTAGCCATTGCTGGCCACCCTTGCTTTTCTACAGTGGGAAAAATTGGAATATATTTTAAGTTATTTTTTATTCCAGGTAAGGAAATTAAATTGGAGTACAAACTGTTTTTGATAATAGCCTTTAAATGTTATTTTCTCTTTGTTTTAAACACTAAACTTTCGCATTTAACTAGGTTTTTCGCTTAAATACATATAGAAAATAAGTTTCTTTGAGTGTACTCACCGTCAGACAGTATATGACCAGCGGCTCGAATAGCTTTATAAGCCGGGCACAGTCACCCGCCGGCGGAGTGGCCGGCTGCAGGCCCTGCACAAAGAGCATGCCCAGCGCCTGGAGTGGGGCAGTATCAATGGTAGCCTCCTCTGGTTTTGAATTTATTGTTGGCAACAATGTGGAGCCGGCGCCGTGACCCCTGCCCTTGGCCCTAAAGTAGGGACGTATGAAGGCGGCATGGTGGCCAATTCCACCGATGGCCGATGGTTGCAGTACCACTTGGCTGGCATAATTTTGGGCGAATAAATATTTCAACAGTTGCCGCAGACATGCAACGCACTCGGCGGGTGCATAATTTATGAGCTTGGTCAAATAGTGGAGTATTTCTTCGATTAATTTAAGCTCCGGGGACGAGGTAGTCGCCATGCCCTCCAGACTAATGCTCAATGCGTTGAGGCAGGTTTTCAGGAGACAAATTAATAAGCTGCCGGACTCGTGATTTATGGTTATCTGGGGAGTGAAAAAACAGATAGAAAAGAGTTGCTTAGCAGGGGGAGGGAGGAGTAGATGGTGGCAACCTAATGCAACCCGCACATTAAGTTACTCCGTGCGAAGAAGTTTTCTGTTTGAGCTGCGAGTGGCAAAAGTCAAGTGAGGATGCTACGTTGGTTGCATTTCGTCGCGGGTTGAATTTTTACAACTCATTGCCATTGCTGCGGCAGTGGCAGCGGTAGAAAGTGTTGCATATAAAACGGCGCATTGCGCTGTACGTGCATCTTGAGGAGAACTCCATCTCGTGCTAGATCTGGGGATGCTGAATGCTGCGATGCTGGAAAATCTCAGTGCACGTGCCGCGCAACTTTTGCCATTTCGGCGCCACACCAGCGACTTAATGGCGGTTGCTCGCTCTGAATCTGCGAGTCCGTGGCCTGACTTACCTTGTAGCTGTCATTAGCACCTCTTAAAATGTTGTAAAGTTTCATGTAAACGTAATCGCCGGCAAAGTAACCCAGGGCCTGCAGGGATGCCGCTGGCGGTTCGCGGGTGAAAAGCTCACTCTTCGGCGGCTTGGAGCTGCCGCCGGAATGGGCAGCAGTGGGCGGGCGTTGATTGGTGACCAGGTGATAGTAGATATTCAGCATCTTGACACTGTGACGCAGCAGAAAGTCCAGGTGGGCGGCATTTGGGACACCTGAGCTCAACATGGCACCTGCAATGATGGGTTGTGGGGCTTATTAATGGCAAATTAAGTGATCCCGCCCGGGCTAATTGTGTTAAAATGCAAACGAGCTCTTTAAATTATACAAATGCGGCGTAATTGCAGCTCACAAAATGAAAAACGCATTAATGGATTTGCAATTGAAAAATGCACGATTCAATGGGATTGCCATGGCAATATCCACCTTAATATGTACAACTGTATGTATGTACTGAAGGTGGTAAAATAATGTGAAATTAAAACAAAAATTGCATAGGTAACAAGCGGAAAACGCTTCAAAGTATGCTATGATTTATCAGCGTTAATTAATGTGTGCGAGTATGCGTGTGTGTGTGTGTGTGCGAGGCATGCAACATTTCAATTTATGTGTCAACAATGCAGCATTCAGCGGCAATAAGCAATATAAATTTGTATTTGGTACTCGCAAAAGGAAATGCAAATGCAAAAAATTATTATTTACAAATAAATTAAATTGTATGCGCATAAATATTTATAAAAATTAAGTGTTAAGGGAGCCATTTAAAGAACCCCTTCGGGGACGACGATGGGCAAGTGGTTATGCCTGGCGGCCCCGGATCGCCGTTTGCATTACATTTACTAATTAATTGAAAATTGCACACACACACACACACACCCAATCGCAATGAGACGCCGCCATTCTTCCGTTACCAATTTATATTTATTTATCGCACATTTCAGTTATTTTTTCCCATTTTACCGTTTGGCGCCAGGGCAATGTTCGATTATTTCACGGCAAGCTGGAGTGCATTTTCACTGCTCACGATAGGTAAGTAGATGAATTAAACCGCACGATATAACAACTCCATTCGTACACGGACAATTGTGATAAATGATTCCCTAAGGCTCTTAAAATTCATTTATTATTTGTGAAAACTTCAGAATTGCTTTATGGACAAGTACATTTCATTCGCTCATGCCATTTATCTAACTTAATCATTTTGAAAATTCATATGAAATTAGAGAATTAAGCTACTTTATGTAATATGCATTGGGGGCTTACAGTCAGTGAGGTGAAAGGTTTTGAATTTCTTGTTCGATGAACAAGTTATGTGAATGAAATATTTCTAGGAAAATATGTTTACAAACTATAGACAAATATTAGATATTTGTAAAGGTTTAATAAAATACCAGAAAGAATCTATGCACCACGACCTAGATATCCTCCATATCTGCCCGCAACATCAGGTGGTTCAGTGGCTTTAAGCCAACGGTGAACTGTGAATTTACATAGGCCACAATTAAAGGATTTTCGTTGGCTGTTTGTTTTGGTTCCGGGCATGAATTGGAAACTATTTGCATACATTTTGGCAACTGTCAAAACTTATCATGAAGCGCACGGGAGAGTGTCGGAAAACATTTGGCGATTCTGTTTTCAAATCGATGTCCAGATAGGCAACCGGACACATGGACACACGGACACCATAAGTACACGCGGCTTAAATATTAAATTGTTGAATGTGCAATTTATGTGAGCGGCACAAATGCAAATGCAAATTTTAGGTGCAAACCAGATAGGTGGGGTTGTAGGGACAAAAGCAGCCGGCGCCACTGACACAAAAATTGTTTAACATTTAATGGTTTATTAATAATTTAATTACTTTTTGATTATGGTGGATTACATTAGCGCGTAGCAAATACGCGGCTGGCATGATAAATAATATAGAGCCTGCACCACCCACCCTTCATCCCTTAATGTCCCTAAAATATATAGCATCCTAATGCACGTCGACCGATCTGCTGAACGGTGGATGGGTTTGGCGGTTGTGAAATGCACTAATGAAATTGAGTTGAAGTTTGGTTTTCTGTTTGCTGTTTTTTGTTGCTGTTGCTGTTGTGTGCTGTAAACATTTCGTAAATTGAATTGAAATGTTTATTAGTGCACTATCTGCATTACTGTTGTTGATGTTGCCACAGTTGCTGGTATTTTTTAGATGCACTTTGTTAATGATGCTGTTCACAAATTATTAAATTAAAAACGCTCAGCTACTGCAGTGTGGGAAAATGTGAGCCAGTCGGAAGTTTTTGTTTTGTGATTTAAATTGTCGCCTATTTTCACTATTGGAACAAAAGTCTATTACAGCGGCTATAAAGCTGCCTGTCACAAGCCTGTGGGAACATTATTTGCCTCATCAATTGAATAATTAATTCATGTAATGAAATTCCTAAAAGTGTATTTTATATTCGACCAATCTAGGAACTGTTATAGCCCCTTTTTTAGTTGTAATATTTTTTGGTAGCTAAATATACTTTTAGTACAACGGAAATTTAAAACCATTTATGCTAATTTCCCGTTTTTCTTGATTAAATTTAAAAATAATAATAACAGCTAAAAAAATAGACTGCGCCCAGTCACTTACACCGCAGCATGAAAATATTTATGCAAATCTATTTAATGACAAACAATTAATTAAAATGATTTATGCAAACGTTGCCACAGCATTCATTACAGCATAATGCAATTAAATATGCAGTCTGAGACTAAAAATTACTGTTTTTGTAATTCCATTTAAATTAAATTAGCCAAACGAGCCACAAAGCATCGACCATCGACCATCGTCCCTGGCCCATTCGAATAAATCCAATAAATATCGGAAATATCGGGAAGGCATTCGAGCGAGCAAGAGAAATCATCAGCCACGCCAGCCAGCCATGAATTAATGCGGTATATGAATGTGAATTTCTGTTAAAATGGGCATGGCTGTGGCTTGGACCAGCAAGGAAATAACCGAGTAACCCCTTCACCGATCTGGGCGCCCACTCACCTGCCATTAATTTGCCCATCACATCAATCAAATCGTTCTGGCAGCTGAGGTCCGCAGCTGTTGCATTGTTGTAGTAGGCATAGCTAATGCAAATTTCAACGAAATTGAATTCCAGCCAGGCCTGTTGATAGTCCACGAAATTGAAGTGCCTCAGCAGGAGGCGCAACGCGTAAATTATGCCAAACTGTAAAGGGAAAACAGGATGAGACGGGATGTGTTTCGGTGTGGTTTGGTCTGGTCTGGTCTACCAGATCGATGCTATTCGATTTGGTTCAGTTCGATTGGCAAACACAAATATTTACCTGCACATTTTTATCATTCAGCGTCATCAATTTATTTGTCAAGCGATACAAAACTTTGGCCAAAACTTTTTCCTCCTGCGCGATTTGACGTTGCGATGCCGTTGCCAGAGCAAAAACATGCCCCTCGGCGATTCCGATGCCGTAACTTGCTTCGAAGTAGGCCGACGCCGCAGAGACTGTCGCTATGGATCCGGATGAGGCAGATGCCGATACTGAGGAGCTGCCAGAGTCCGGACAGGCTGAGACGGCGGTGGCCATTGCATCCAACTCAGCCAGAGGCGGCACAATCGTCGAACTGGCCCGGAATAAATTACGCAACGTCACGGACATGCTGCCAAATATGCGATAGTCGAAAAAATCCCACAGCAAATTGAAATTAGTTTGTTGAGTTTCCACGTTGACGTTGCCATTTCCATTGCCTTCGATTTCGCTGCCTCCACCTCCTCTTCCTACGACTTCATCCTTCTCAGAAGACGGATCCTGGCGCGCCGTTTGCATTATAAAGCGGCAAAGACAGCAGGCGGCGTGCTCCCGCACCCGCGCATCATCGTCGCCGAGCAGATGTAAAAGTTCAGCCAGAAACTGTGCCTGCAAGGGGAGCAAAGTGTTTTTGAGTCAGTTGACGGCACGTTGTAAATCAAAAAGTGAGCCAAGTTTTCATTATGCAGTTTGGCAGTTTCGAATGCCCGTGCAGATGCGGTTTGCCTAGTCGATTTGTCCCGAAAGGTGCAACACTGAAGAATATTTAACTGTCATTGAATCTAAAACTAATCTTTACCTTTTATAAAGATAAGTTGGAATCACCAAAGAATGTATTTTTCGTGATTTAGCAAACCTTAAATCTTATGATCTGCCTTTAAACCCTCAATTTATAATTTATAGTTGCAATTTTTCTAAGTGAACCGCCATCAAAAAATTCGTGATTCCAAGTTTTGAACTTTGGGAAAACACAGTCAACCATAATTGCAACTACGACTGGAATACGAAATTCTAGGCACCATCAATAGATGGCAGAATAGGCACACCAGTTAAGCTCTTTTCATGCTATTACATTTTCTTGGTATTCAGTTTGATCCGTCAATCGTCTTTTGGCTCAATTGTTTGCCGACTCTCGAGCTGATGTACGTTTTCCCTCTCAGTGCCATTTAGTAAATTGCTTAGCTTTGTCAAAATAATAAATAAACAAATATATGTGCGAGCGCCACAAAAACCCCGAAGCTCTGAGCTTCGCCTGTCAGCCAGTCAGTCAGTGAGTTCGTAAGGATGTCAGTCGGTCCGTTAGTACGTCATTCGGTATTCGGCATTCGGCATGCGGCATGCGGCAGGATGCGCTCCACAGTCTCCTGCAGAATGCACAAAGAGCCCGGCCACACACTTGAGTGCACAAATGTTCAATAAGAGTTGTCAGAGGAGCACCCCGGCACTCGAATTGCCTTGGATGCTCCGTAGAGTTGGGCGAAAACACACTCGTAAAATAATCTGCACAATAAACAAGCTGGCGAGCAGCGGCAGCGGCGGTGGATTGTGGACTGCCAGCGGGCCCGACTGTAATAAGACGATTTAGCTGCTTACCTCATAAGTGCAGACAATGTCCTCGCCCTCTCCATCCGCATCCCGTCCAGAATCGCAGCAGGCATTACTACGACCATCCTTCGGCGGCCGCTTCGAGTCCTGCTCCTTGGCGCCGCTGTTTTTGTTGTCGATGCCACAACGAAAATTTGCGTAGTACGACCGCAGCAGCACGTAATTTAAATTCGAAATAACTTCGGCGTATTTATTCTGGACCAGCCAATATTTATTGTGATGGCAGAGCCGGAGTTTGCTCAAGAGCAATTTGGGTGAGATGGCAAACACACAGTAAGGTTCCAGTTTGGGATCGAGATCGGTCTCATTACCCAACTGGCCAGTAGTTGGCCAACCGTGGCTGCTACTCCTTTGGTCCTGCTGTTGCTGCTGCTGCTGCTGCATGCCAGTCGATTGCAATTGGAAATCATTCAAAAGAGCAGCCAGTAGCTCATCATTATCAGTGGCCGAGGACTTGGCACATGTCCCGGCATCGTTAGGGCGCCTTTGTTGCTGCCGTTGACTGCTTAAGGCATTATCCTGGTCCTTTGCAAAAGTTTGTTGGCCAAATGTTTGCGCCTGGCCCGGACGCTTTTGTTGTCCACTTGAATGTCGTTGCAGGTCCTGCTCTAGCTCCAGGTTCTGGTCCTGCTGTTGCTGCTGCTCCTTCTGCTCCTGCTGCTGCTGATGAGCATGATAATGACATGGCGGCTCTGTCAAATATTTGGACACCACATGCGGAAATATCTTATCGAATGCATTCAACGCTTGTATAACCACTGTGTGGATCTCATCCTCAAAGCCCTGCAATAAGTGGGGGAGAGCAAAAAGTTTTTCGGCTAAATTTCTTTATACAGGATCTCAAGAACAGGCATAAGACGGCCACGGCCAAAACGAGACGTTGGCTAAGCGAATTTGTGTTTTATTGTTTGCACAAGCAAAAAGTTTTCCACAATCACACAGTGGCCAGCTCTCAGGCATCCTTTCCTTCCCCATTTCCCTCTCCTGCCCACCATCCGGGCATCCATCTGAGAGTGTGTGCATTTTTAACGAATCTCTAACAAGCTTTTCCTAGCTGCAGACCCGGCCAAAGGGCTATTGTTATCAAAGTTGCTTTGCCTTTGGCCCGGGGATGGCCTGCTCCAGGGAAGATCTTCCCGCTTTTCAGTCCCAGCCCCAGCCCCAGACCCAGTCCCAATCCCAAGCTCTATCTCGTTTTGGCTTCAATTTTGGTATGCTGGCAAGTGCCATTGAGACGGATTTGCAGCCATTATGTAGCAGGCATCTAATGTGATTTTCAGCTAGCACGTTCTGCGTCCCATTCTCATTCTCATTTACATTCCCACTTCCCATCCTTCCCCATCTTCGCGTGCATCTCGGTGCAACAACATTGCATAATCAAATTGCACTTTTGGGGAGGCCAGCAGCCAGCAGCAATTTAAATGTTCGGTGCTGGCCACTAAATTATTGAATTCAATAAGAAACCAGCCCCGCATCGGAACCCCAACTTACTGCCACGGCCAATCCCCAGACAGAAATCAATGTGCAACTTATGCGCACATTCTGCATACCGGAAGGGTAGGGCGTGAGTTGGGAGGGTAGAAAGTAAGATGGCAACGGATGCGCGCTGTTCCCTTTAGGGGCATTTGCACTTGCACATTGCGAAGACGATAAGAATTTTCTTTCTTATTTTCAAATGAAAAACAACCAACCACACAAAATGCCGCCGGCTAAGCTCCAACTGCAACTGGCTCGAGTTGGTGGCCGGAGCTGGAAAATATTCAAAAGGCAGCAGCCATTGATATGGACACGTGTCCGTGTCCGTGTGTGTTTGCCTGCATGTGTTAAAATATGTTAGCTTGATGGTTTAACATAGAAAAAAGTACAGCGAAAAGGTGGGGGCACATATTTATAGATATAGAATGTTTGTGCAGTGGGGAAAAAAAGTGGGTGAACTACGCCACTGACACATAATAATCCAGCACAGGCGAAGATGGAATGCTCTCGGAATAAAGAATTTCCCAGTAAAATTCTACAATTCCTATGTATTAGGAAGAAAAAAACTTAAAATTCTATTTTCTCAATTAAGGTTTTCCTAACCAAAAGTGCACAGCATAATAAAGCTTTAAGCCAAAACGAACCTTCTAACCAAATTCTCTATACCTCTCGCAGGGTAAAACAAATAGTCGTCGTTCTACGTGGCGTATTCGTTATGCAAACGCAGGGGAAGAAAATGGAGTAACACGGAGAATAGGAGAGGGACTGCAAGTGGGCGTTCTATGACAAAGATATAGCGCCAGATATACAAAGCGGGTTAGCATACATGTAATGTGGCTTACCATTAACTGGGTACCGTGGGATGGGAGGTACCCATTAAAGGAACTTTCATCGTAGTGCCTGTGGCTACGAAACGCTTTGTGCGAATATCGTGTTCTGGATTAGCGACGCACTTACCTTCAACAAAATGGCCAGCAAGTGTTGCAGACCGAGATTACGCTGCAGTTCCAGAATCAGACCAGCTCCGCTGGATTGTAAGAAGTAGCCCACAACCTGCTGGACTCCACCTCGCAAGATGGGATCGCAGTGGTCATGGAAAAGCAAGACATCAGAAATGGCCTGACATCCTTTAGCTGAGAGATTCCCAGAGGCAGGCGTTGATCCAACCACACCTGCACGGCTGCGTGTAGATTTTGTGCGCTTCGGGTGGACGAGGTGGCAGACTCAAAGGAGGCACATCCTCACTTGCCACCGTGGGCTGAAATGAACTGCCAATGATATCGGATTTTGAGAGTTTCTCTTCGTTTGCTGATTTCTTGATAGCCTGCGATGATGAAGTGCCTCCAAGTAACAGAATCGAAGCATCTGCACTGCGACTTAGAGTTGGTGTCGGCTGTTGCAAGTAAGCCGGACAGGTGCTGGGGCCAAAGTGATCATCCTTGATGTCCAGCAGTAGCAGGTTGTCCTCCAGCTCCGGCTGAATAAGGCTACTGTCCATCGAAGGCTTCTCTCCACCCACCTGAGAATTGTCGCTGCTCTGGGGACTGGACACCTGAGTACTGTCGCCACTGACAACCTGTGAGTTGGCCTCCTCCAGCAGCTGCAGTTCCTGATCGCTGATCTCCAGGCTGAGTTGGAGAACTCTTGGTGCCAATCGGACACATTGGGAAATCACAGCCAGGGATAGACTCTTGATGGAAACTCTGCTTATGCTATCCGACTGTAATCCCGCCGCCTGTCCACTGAGCAGGAACCTAGCTGCCACCAAACGAGCTGTGTAGTACACCAAAGACTGCTCCATGATGCTGCCAATTTTCACGGTGATCAGGGCACGACCGACAACTGTCTGCCGGAGCGGCGAGTTCTCCACTAGAAAGGGATTAGCTGCGGAGATAAAGCTTCTAATTAGTGTCTCCTAGGTGCGACAGCCAGCGACTTACCGTTGGGCGTGCTTCGTAACTGCGGTGTTTCGGGCTTAGAGGCTGCCACTTCCACGGCCGGGGCATCCATCATGAGGGCTGTGGATGCCGTGTGGGAGGCGGTGATAGAGCAAGAGTCCTCCACGGGCGTGGGCGTCTCCGCAATCGAGGGCTGGCGTTCTGGCGGCTCCATGTTGCTGCTGCTGGCCAAGGAGCTGAGTGAAAGCGTGAGCGAGGCCGTCGAGATGGCATCCGATTTGTCGGCGGGAGCCGACTTGGAGGGCGTGGATTTAGAGCCGCTTGATTGACGAAACAGCTTACTGACCGACTCCGAAGCTGGAAGCACAAAAGCCCCGAGTTAGTGCGCCCCGTCGAAGGTCTAGCAGATAACTTGGTTTGACACTAATGCCAGCAATGGCGTTGGCTAATTTGCGGCCACTCCAGACGGCCAATTACCCGGCACATTCGTCTATCGTGGCAAACTTTGTGAGCCATGAGGCCAAAGGAAAATGCAAGGATCCGGGTGGTGGTTTTCTATGTAAGTATGTGTGTGTCTGTGTGGGTAAAACCGCTAAAACTATTTTCTTTAGCTACTTTTTATGTTGTTCTATTAGCTTGCCGCCGCGGGAAAAACTTGCCGGCTCTCCATCTTGTATTGAAAATTAATTGAAAACTTCAATTTCATGGAAAGTACGAGTATAGTGCAGCCACTCGCTTCCCCCCACTGACCACTTAAGTGGGTTAAAAATGGCTGCATCTTTTAGATGCACTTGTTGTGGCTTTCCCAGTTGTTGTTTTTTGTTATTGTTCTAATGGATGTTCCGGCCGCATGCAAGTGCTGTAAAAATTAGAGCAACCACGAATCCACGACTGCGGCCAACAGAAGCAGCAGAGCACTTTATGGTCCAAGTGCTCGCATGTATTGTTCGGGGGAGATAAACTAAGAGTACATAGGAAGGCTGATCAGTGTTTTACTAGTTTATCCTTGAACTGGTAGTGGTAGTCCCACAAATTGGTTGCAAGTATTCAAAAAAGTTTACTTCTTTTAAATTTAACCAACGAAAAGTCTAGGGTAGCAGCTAAATTAGATAACCAAAAGCAGATCCTTTGCGATCTTTCATAAAATATGAATTTGGTATCCAGCAAATGCTAGTCTGAGATTTAATCTTGATGTCCTCTATTTTAAAATATTTAAAAAGCTAAGTTACATCCTTAAATTAACAAGTAATCCTATAATCCGAACCCGCTTTACCATCTGAATTACATTGGCATTCCCTCAAATTAGCGAAAGCTGGTTGCTCATAAAAGTGCCCCGAAATCAGGGAGCCCTGCATGCAGTTTTTATGGAACTTTCATGCTCATACACTCGCCAGTAATTATGTTTGGGGTTGTGCCGGAGGTTTGGCTGCCATTTTATGCTTTAATAGTTTCGCCTCCATAAAAGTGAAAACGACAGCAGCTCCGCGCAACTTCGGTCGAGTGTTTTCTTTTTTATTATAAAATCACGTTGAAAATGCAAACAGCAATGGAAAAAAAGGAACAACACACAAAAATGGCAAATAAAACTTTGAAGCGTATAAGCAAAGAAGGGAACAAAACCCCAAACTAGGCGACAATGAAAACCGCGTAGGAAACGCGGGCTCTGGTCGGGAAAACCGCGGGGAGAGGGTCTCATGGCTGCTACTTTATGCCCCCACCATCCTCCAGACGGGCAAACTCTCTCTCTCCTTGCCAGCACACATGTAAATGTTTTTTACAGCTCAAGTTACATATGTGGATGCAACGAGAGGTTCTGAGAAAAACAAAGGACAGGCAAGACCAACAGTCGTAAAAAATTTTTTATGAAAATAGGGTAAGATGTCGGGTCTAAACTTAGCCGGAGATACTATAAGGAATTAATTCCCAATTTTTTCCTGTTGAAAAATGTTTAATTATTGAAATACTTACTAGGTTTTAACTATAAATTTGTTAACATTCGTTTTACAAGATAATATATATATACATTTTTTTTTAAATACTTTTAGTACCCTACCATCACATACCAATAATATGTAAAAGTTATGAATTTCCCTTAATTACTTTTAGGAAAACACTTAATTCCTATGAATAGATCAAGTGACAAGAGTTTGTCCCTGGAGTCCTTGCCAGAGTATACTAATCGTCGGGGCTCTGATGCAGATAAAGACGAGCGGCTGTGGCTGTGGCTGTGGCAACACATATCCATACACCATATATAAAGCCCCAGATATACGAGTATGTACATATTTATAAAAAAAAGAAAAAACAAACAACCGGCAATAACTACCGCGGACGGACGGACGAGCAAGGCAGCGCAAAAAGGCTGATAGCGCATAAGTGCACAAAAGCAAAAACAACTAATACGGCTCAGGAATAACAACAACAACAACAACAGCAACAGCAGGCGATGGAAAGGACGAAAATAAAAACAGCTAAACGCGGAGCAGGCAAAGTGCAGCAACTGATGGCTGGCTCCTCTCGTTTTGGCTGACTGTTCCTGGCAATGCTAAATAAACCCGTACACACAACACACACACTCTACACACATGCACACCCCCGCCAAAAACACACACATTGTACAACACACACGTATACTGTGACACAACATGTAAGCTTGCATACATGCAATTTGAGTAACCGCATTTTATCACGTAACCCATTTGTCTTAACCACTTTGTTGCCAACTTGCAGTGTGATGCTTTGGCCAAGTGGCAGTGGCGGCACAAGAAAACCAGCAATGAGGTTGGCAGGCGGAGAGTTTTGGGGCCATCGCACAGCGCAAATGCATTGCCATGTTTCAAGCTTAATCCGCATCCCTCGCACAAAACTTACACATACATATGTATGTACAAACTGGCGCACAAGAAATGCCGGATTTAAGCCTAACATTTACGTCAAGTAGATGTGGGTTTTTATACGCACCCCTTCTGCTCCTCCGCCCAAGCAGTTGTCTTTATTCCTCCCTTTCCAGTACCACTCTGCTCCGCCCACAACTCATTCGCTTAATTAGTACTTCCGGCTCAGTGCAGTACATTTCCTTTGTTTATTACTAGCCTCCACCCCCGCGCACTAACTAACGACAGGACATGGGTCTGGCATCATGTCTGCCACTCTGCCACTCTGCCACTCTTTCTTCTTCTCCTTTACGTTTATAGGTCAGGGGAAAAGTGTGGCACACTTATATGCACTTGGCTTGCGCTCGTTACTGTGAGTCGATTTCAGCAAGTTGAGCATTCGAGCAATTTAAATATTAAAATAAATTATATCAAGGACAGGGCAATCAATACGCAATGAAATGTCAGCAAACAGCATTAAAAAAACTTTGTTCGCCCATGCCTTCGCAGTCATGTTAGTTGAGAAGACAAAAGCTAACGAAAAGATGCATCTTAGGTGCACGGGAAAAAACTAAAAACTAAACCTCTGAGATTGGAATATTAAGAATAAGACTGTGATAAGGAAATCTTGCATTTAAAATCTTTCAAATGAATTCAATGACAGTCTTTCAAATGAATTAAATGATCTTTTAAGATCAAAATGTTTAGCTATAAGGACAAATGGTAATTCCCATCCTCAGAGGACGAATCTTGTGCACGAACTGCCTACTGCGCTTGACTGCCGTGGAGAGTTGCGAGATGCAGCGGCAACAATTACGCTTCATTAAATCGCAAGTGCAATTGGCAATCGAGGACGAGTTGCCTGCGAGTCACGTCTGCAATGCTGCCGCAATTATGCAAATAATGCCATCGAATTTCGCCCAAATATAGCAAATAAATGCGGAATTGTTTGGCGTGAGAAAACAAAAATCAAAAGAGTGAGGAAAATAGAATTTGGTGGGGACTGCGGTAGACCGTGAAATGCAATAACATCGAATGGAAATAGTTTTGAACTTGCTTCGCTGACTTTGAACTTTGCTAATGAAATATTTGTACGGGAAATAGTCATAGTTATGGCGGGCTTACCTGCATTGGAATGCGACAGCAGATTGTTGAAGAATGTGCCAATAGCTGTTGCATCGCCGGATTCCACCGAATCATCCGCCGGAGGATGTTGTTGTTGCTGTTGTTGCTGCTGCTGCTGCTCTTTGCTGCCGGCAATTGTGATTTCGGCTTCGAAATCGATGCTGTTGAAAGATTCATTGTCGATGTCACTCAAATGCTGGGATTTGTCATCGCTGCCGGCGAGCAGATTCTGGAGAGATGACTGATGCTGCGGTTTAGGCAGCCCCCCGACATCGGCATCAGCATCAATCAGTTTATCGTCCTGCGATGCTGCTGTTGCTGTTGCTGCTGTTGTTGCGGGCAATTGCAATGCCGCTGACAGCGTCTGTTGTTGTTCATTTAGTTGCGACAGGGTTGTAAAGTCATCACACTCGGCACTCAGCAGCTCCATGTCGTCATCATCATCCTCCTCCCCATCCCCCATGCCATCGTCATCCTCGCCCTGCCGCTGCTGGTGTCCTTGCCCCTGCCTGTCCTCATCCGAGGCAACGCATTCGCTGATGCTGCGTGCGGCATTCCTAATGTGGCAGCGCTGCTTCGTTGCGTTTCCCCCTGGAAAGTACAAAAAGGGGAATGAGTGTGGGCATGAGTGTGGGTTAGCCTTACAATTTGTGTAAATATTTGTGCTGGATTCCGCTGGCGGCAAATGCAAATGCAAATTTGGCCTGACCTCGTTCCTGCATGTGCCGCCGCCTAAAAGCATGCACTAATAATTTTCATATGTGCATTGTGTGTGGGTGTCTCCATCAGCCTGTGCAATTGCTCAATTTTCTTGATTTCGGCATGGTCTGTCTGTTGGTTCCGTTCGTCTGTCTGCCCGTTTGCCTGTCAGCCCGTCCTTCCTACTGCCCCCCGAGTACCTCTGATCCTCTGTCAGCATGTCACATTTCCACATGACTGCCCGCAAACACACACCCAAACCCGCAAACCATCTCGACTTGCATTCTGCCTTATTTGCCATACCTTCATCAGCGACGGAACTTGGAGCCTCGGTCGTGGCATCTTCCCCGGCATTAATTCCCAGCGAGCTGTTGTCAACCTCGAGTTGCTGTTGTTGCTGCCGCTGCTGCTGCTGATGTTGCTGCTGTTGACACTTCGCCTGCTGCAGTTTTGCATTTGAATTCTTTTTCATTTGCATTGCACTGGCCCCAACCGCCAGTTTATCGTCATCCTCATCCTCGCGCTGCTGTTGACTTGTCGCCACTTCGTAATTTTTCAATTGGAATATTTGATTCTTTAATGATTTCCTTCGCCGCAAATACTCATTGTGCTGCAGTTGTTGATTGCACAACAGTTGGCGCAAACTTTGGCCCAGACTCTGGCTACATTGGCCATCGGATGGGGTGTCCAGGGCCTGGAGTATGCCGTTGATGACCTCCAGGGTGGCATTTATGATGGCGTGATTCGCGGTGTGCTGCGTGCTCAGCAGGTGCAAACAATAATCATAAATTTCAATAATTTGCCGGCAGTCGGAGGTCGTTGTCTGCTGCTGTTGCTGTTTCTTGCCGGCCAAGGACTCGGAATCCTCGTGGCTATCGGCGCTGTAGCCGCGTATGAGTTGCGGCAATAGGAGGCGCAACAGCCCCAGGGCTCCCAGCACGCTGCTCGCTTGCTGATCCGTCAGCAAGAGTTCTGCAGGAAGAGTATGAGAAAAAAACACAAGGATAAGTTAGTTAATGGAGAGAAACTTATGGCCGCTGTTGATACAAATTAAAAACGCTCTTCAAACTTTTTGCGCAGCGTGCGCTGGCAATTCCAATTTGCTCAATAAGCAATAAGCGAGCACCAGAAACCGATAGCAATATCGGGATACCCATTGCTATACCTTTACCCACTTCCATTTCCTTTTGCGTTTGGCCGGCCAATTGCAGTTCATACTTCTTTCGTGTTCTTGGCAACTTTTCCCTCATATGTTTTGCAACAAATTGCCTCCAATTAAATTTATCTCGTTGAAAACTTTCCATCTGATATTTATAGACTTCGCACACATGCACCCACCCACTGAGACTGGGCTGGAGACTGCGAATGCTCGACCTCCCGCAGTTCTTGCTCTTGTTGTCTCTGCTTATTTGTCGTTTCATTACGTATACGCCACCAATCACAAAACGCCATGTTGGAAGTTTGTTACTCAATTAGTTTTCATTTTCTTCCTTTGGGGCGCAAAATTGAAAACACTTCTCGCCGGAGAAACTTTTTACATGGCCCTCATGGCAGCCAAGTGACTTTGCCGAGCGCAACTTGCGGCCTGTTTCCATGTGTATCAATTAATTGCGGCAGAAGCCGCAAGAACTTTCTGCGAAATTGGCGAGGCCGAAATGGGCGAGAGGGCGGCTTCATGCTGGGCACGTTTAAAGACTGCAATTAATAGCCTCACGAAAGGTGTTCAGTTTGAGGTCTACTTATTGGAGACTCGAGAGAATGTCACAAAATAATCTTGAACTCTGAATCCCTAGCATTTGCAACAGAAAGGCTTGTCCTTGTGAGTTCATTGTTCAAGAACTACATGGTATACTTTAAGTTAAACATTTAACTAGAATAATAATTATTAATGAAAGTCAGAATTAATTTTGTTCAAATCCAACATGAAGTCAAAGTGAAAATGATTTCTTAGATATACTCAACCAGCTGGACCCTTAGACGGCACTTTCAAAGAGATCAGCAGCTATTTGAGAGAATGAATTGGTCATTTGGATTGTTATGCTGCCACAGTTGACATGAAAAATAATTTTCACTTTTTGTTTAGCTTGGCATCATAAATTTTGCATGCGCCCTTTGCAGCTGTTGGCTTTGCTGGCCTCGTTCGGCTGGCATTTGTTTACAACGTTGATTATCCGCTTTAAAGCTGCACAGGAATGAATATCTGATTCAATTTCGCATGAATTATTGCATGGAAGTGTCCAAGTGCATAAATTTCATTTCGTCTACGGGCGGAGACAAACAAACGGAGATGGCGAGGGCGGGCCTGAGGTCTAGGAACCCAGCTCTGAGCTCTGAGGTCTGAGGAGACTAAGGACTAGGGCCGTACTTTGTGTCTGTTTGTTGGGGCATGCCAGGAGGATGCCAGTAGGATGCCTGGAAACAGGCAGCCCAAGTACTGCCGCTATGATGGGTGCCCATAAAAAGAGGCGCCAGACTGTATAAGGATGCGCTGAAGAGTTGCCTGGCATTGTGCCTTTGCCGAGAAGTGGCATAAAGTTGACACAGGAATAGAAGACCAGTGTGCGGCAGGGGAAGGAGCAGTCGGGCCAGCAGCAGGGCCCAGGAGCTGAAGGAGTTGATTTGAAGGTAAACATTTGGACAAGAAAAGAGCAAAGGTAAAGTCAAGTCGAAGCTTAATTTATATGAACTTAGGTAAGGTCAAAATTTAGACTGCCATATATGATGAATCGCAAAAAGTAATCCGAGAAAATGAATTAGTTTTTCTAGCCAGGCATCTCACTTTAATTGTTTGCAAAAGCCCTGAGCTGAGGTTTATTTAAAAACTTTGTTGGGCGTCGATTTAATGCATTTTGCAGTACAGGGCAGTGCAGGGCTCATAAAAAAGCAATGGAAACTGTAACTAAGGTGCATTTACCTCTTGGTCGACGTTTGCCAATAATATTTTCATGAAAATTCAATAAAAAATGATTTGTGCTTGCAATTTTTAAGCATTTTCACATGGCTCACGTTGCCATGACTTTTGTTTTTGCCGCTGCAGTTATTGCTGCAGTCCGCCAGTCAGCAAATGCTAAAATAAAAACTGCCCGCTATCGTTGTCTAAAATCAAAACAAATCTCAAAAAACCATACATATACTATATATATTCGATGGCTCGTCCATCGATTGCGCGAGGTAACCAACAGCAATGTAGAAATATAATTTATATCAACTGTCTAGTTACTTTTATTGTGCCACCATCACCCTCACCCACCACCCATTACCACAGACAAACAAACCCATGGCTGTGATTGCATTCACAATGCGAGTTTGAATAAAACCCGAAAAACCATCTTTCCCCCGCTCACGTACCTCGCAGTTCGATGGCTTTATATTTTGGTAAGGTATTTTTCATGGATTTGCGGCTTTTTAGAATATTAAAAATATTTTTTACTAACGGAACGAGGGCGAGCGCGAGCAACGAGCCCAACAATATATATGCAGATCTATGCGAGGCTTACTATTTGGCCGTTACACGCTTTTTAAACACCACTTTCATTATTGATGAGAATATAAAGAGCGTTCTGCTGGACGTGCTCGCAGTGAAAATGCGTTAAATAACTAACAGCAATAACACCGAATTGTGGATTAGTTTACGCAAATCTGGACGAACAATAACGGCTTTTATGAGTGCACGCGATGTTTCAGATTAAAGGAGGTTCAACTGGTAACATTTTTTGAAAGAATAATTGTGTTTCACAGTTTTTGTTTGGCCTGTTTGAGAAATCTTTAGTGGGTATAACTTTAAAAAATATTTGAAAAACTAGTTTTATCTTTTTAAAATAATGGCTAAACATAAACAAAAAAACTTTCAACAGTATTAAATAAAGTTCTCTCACAGTCAATATATAAATCTGTTGCTGATCACGTACTACTTTGGCATCTTATTTCTATGTATCCCTGATATTCACGAACAATTAAGGAGCTCGGCTATCCATTACAGATGCTGCTCTCTAACAAATACAATTTTCGCATTCCCATCAGGCGCTTCATTTCCGTTCTATGCTGGTGCTTACCCATCACTTTGCTGACTCCATGTCTGGCCATGAGGCTCCTATTTCGTGCATGCTCAATCAGACTGATGCAATTTTGGGCTGAGCAGCGACGCTTCACGGCACAATCGGAGCTAATATTGTCTAGAAAAGTCTGCAAAACCCAACAAGGAACTTAGTAAGTCCATGTAATGCATAATAAGGATTGTTAATACCTCGAAGAGTTTGCAAGATTCACTGTCGCTAAGGCCCTGTTGTATGTACCGACCAAAGTGTTTGACAAAGTCGCAGAGAGTTTCCTGAAGCAGTGTCTCCTTGCGCTGGGAAATAGTGGTAATGCATTGCAGCAATCTTACGGCGTACCACTTAATGTGTTTCTCCTTTACTTGTGGGGCATAGTACGAGAACAGATTCAAACAAATCCTCAAGGATCTATAAAGGAAAAATGTTTTAGGATATAGAATTTCAGAATACTTGATAGCTTACCTTTGATTACCATTCCGTTTGATCTCACCGTACAAGTCCATAAGTATACGGCTAACCCGAGTTTTTTCCAGTGCCCGCAGGATCTTGTTGAGGTTCTCCTCCGCACTCATCCTGACCACGGAATCCACATCCTCGCAGAAGAGCAGCAGGACATTCGTGGCTGTGCCACAGTGTGCTGCATAGTTTATGTGCCCCGCCAGCGAAGGCGACATGATGCACTCGGCAATCTGCTGGAAGCAGTTGATTTTCTGCTTTTGACTAAGGGAATTTCAGGTAATTAATAATAAGTATAGGTATGTGGCATGACGTCATAACGGATGCGCTTATTGTTTAATGTTAAATGCATGGGTTTAAGAACTTCATCTTTTGGGTATATCACCTGCAGGGTATTGAACTCTGCAGATATCACCTTTACATTCGATTTGAATCATTATTGTTCCGTAATGAGCAACAAACTGTTGCCGGTCCCCTCCCCAAAACATTCGATGCAACCGAAAACAAACAAATAAAGGTTTATTCCCACCTGCATTCCGTATTCCGCAGTTGTTCTACAAAGCCGACAAACTTGTCGTTGACACTGGACCTGGATTTGTCCATTTTTATGTCTAAAATAACGACAATAAACGCTATTTGAAAACAAAAGCACAGGAAAACATTGCACTTTTGTTATTATTTTTATCAGCTGCAACACCAGTGTTACCAGAGGGTGAAGGTGCTGAAACGTACCATCGATAACGATAAAAATAATATTATCAGACTAAGACTATCAAAACAATTTAACGAACCGTGATTTTGTACGTTTAAAACCATTAAAATTAGTTCTAAAATATAAAATAAATAATCTGCGAAAAATTGTTAAATGCTTTTTTCGGCCTCTGAGAGATTTCAAATCACAGATTTGTGCATCTCTATTACAAAAATCACCTGTTTTTCTGCAATGTTATGCTGATGTTAGCTAACAGTAACAGTTAATCTTGGCGCAAATGTTATCGATATCAAACATTTTAATTCATTCAAATTAAGAGAGAAATATTTCTATTCAATTAAAACAGCAAGAGTTTATTTTTATTTACGTTTTATTTTTATTTATACATAACTGCGTTCACATAGTTAATGATTTACTTAAATAAGAACGTTTCTTCACTTGTTCGTTGTTCATTGTCTTTTGCTTTGTTCGTTGCGAAATACTTATGCTCAGCGCATAATATTTCCTGAAATATATTTCTTCACATACTCTTTAGGGTAGTGTACATTATTGTATTTAATTATGTTTTACCTTAAAAAACTTAAACCCATACAAAAAATGCTTTAAGCTACTTAATGTTATTAACAAAACCCACCATTGTTTTTGTTCGCTTTTCATTGTGTTTTCTTTTCTTTTTTTTTTTTTTTTTTTTGTTTAGGCTTGCCCTACGTGTATTCGCGTGAATTATGTAGAAAAAACAATCACAGTCCATTGAAAAATATATAAAATTAGTTATTTGTTGTTTGTATGCGTAATAAATTGCCCGTTTCGGAATGGAGAAAAGGTCGAGTACAGAGTACAGCGTACAGAGGTTGCAAATAATGGACATCTAGAGCAACAGATCACTGAATTCGTGACACAAAATATTTACAACAATTCATTTAGGTGTACCTAAACCTTACGCTTTAAACTACGAAATGTGCAAAACTTAGCCTAGGGAAAAACGAGTGCAGAGTAGAAAGCTAAGGAAAGCTGCGAATGTGCTTAAATAATTTATGACATTTTGGGCAGATACGAGGGAGAAGTGAGACTTGGAAGCGGGTACGAATTAGAGCCGAAGTAGGGGGTAATCTAACTAGGACGACTAATCGTGATCTAAAGTAGGCATCTAAAAATAGCGTAATATCTGAAGGTCCTAGCCGCGTTTGGCCCGCAGCACGAGAAGCGTCAGCACCAGGAATCCCACGATCCAGGACAGAGTGCTTACATAGCCGATGTACACATCGGACTCCAGTATCGCCCAGCCACGTGTGAGGATGGAGCGCAGTGAAGAGGTGGCCAGCGTTAATGGCAGGCACAGTGATATGTATCTGAGGGATATGCAAATTATTATTTTCATTTCTACATAGATTATCCCCTCAAGAACTCACCTCAGGACCACGGGCATGCCCTCAATTGGCCAGATCACGCCAGACAGCAGCAGGGTGGGATAGAAGGAGCCCAGCGCCAGCTGGATAGCATTCCTCTCCAGCTCGCACACCGATGAGATGAGGAAGCCAAAGCACATTCCGCACATTCCCTGCAGCAGGGTCAATACGATCACCCAGAAGAGATCGCCATTATTGGTAACTCCGAATACCACCAACATGAAGATGAGCACCAGGGTAGTCTGTCCACACATCACCACAAACTGGGTGATAACGTGCGAGAAGAGGATCTCGAAAGGTGAGACGCCAGCCACCCAGGAGCGATCCAGTAAGCCCTGAAAGGAAGTGTTTGCTATTAAATATTCCGAAATTGAGTTATGATTCCGTGACTTACCTCAGTACGCTCAATGATCAGGGCCGATGACGTCAAAGCGACAGCCAAGAAGAATACAATGCTATTAAAAATATAACGAAAAAAACAAAACAACATTAATGACACTCCCATAAAATAAATGGCTTTGAAACCTACGTCAAGATCACGCCAGGTGCCACGAAATCGGTGAACGATGGATTCATGGTGCCGTAGATGGGATCCCTGAACTGAATGGGTACGTCGCCCAATTTCGGATTGCTGCCGCACTGGCCTAGCAGTCCCATGGCGAAGTCCCTGAAGGCCAGCTGGATATCCCGATTGAGCATGACGCCGATTTGCTGATTAGACATGTCCAGCCAGACCTTAACCTCGGAAGAGTCGATGGTTTCGTCGTCGGAATCACGTCCCAGATTGGCTCGGGCAATGAAGGCGTCCGTGAAGTTCTCGCTGATGTACACCGCTCCCCAGGCTGTGCCCTTTTCTCACGGCTTCTTTGGCTTCATCCAGGTCCTCATAATATGTTTTAACCACGCTCGTATTCAAATGACTTAGATAGCGACATCCCAGGTTCTTGAAGTGGCAGCCGTCTTCCCAATAGCAGTTTTCCTAAAGGTAATAACAGGTGAGTTACTCTTAATTTTAAGTTATAGTAAGTATTTGTGCTTGATTGTCCATTATGTTTAGTCATAATTAAGTTTTTAGTCTTTGTTTTATGGCTTTTACTTCCCAAATTTAAAGTGGTTTAATCGGATATGACGATATTAAGAAAGAAAATAACAATTTGTTTATCTTTTAATTTAATCAAAGAAATTCTAAGGACTAGAAACATTCTTCAAAAGTGCTCCTAAGTAAAAGTGTGTATAATTGTGTGTCTTACCCTTACCGTGTCGTTCATCTCTCCATTGACTATGGCCAGGTTGAGGCCCTGAGGATCGCGTCCGATGGCCAGACAGAAAAGGATAACCTGCATGACAGGCAAGGCGAAGATGAACAGCATCACGCCCACATTACGCCACATGCGCAGCATGTTCTTGGTGAGCAGGGCGCGGATCTTGCCCTTAGAGGTGATCTTGCACAGGTTGGAATAGCAGTCCTGGCAGCTCTCCTCGTCATTGGGATTGTTGTTTCGCCTCGACGGAGGCGGACTATACGGTTCCTGATTGAGCTGTCCAAAAAAACATAGTAAATAAGCTGGGACATCATAAAGGGGAAATTAAAACGAACCGTGTAGATAGAGCCATTGCTGTCGTTGATGAGCACCTCCTTGCTCTGGTGGAAGTTGAGGCCCACAACGCCGCCCTCCTGACTGGAACTAGGCTTGTCCATCTTGCTGCCAAAGGCCATGGCGTGCAACGAGATGTTGTTACTAATCCCGAAAAAACCAACAAACAGATGGAGGGTGGAACACAGATTGCGAGCATGCGAGTGTCGGATGGAGAAGAGTCAGAGTGGAGAGTGGAGAGTTCAGAGTGTTGATTAGAGTGTTTGTCGTCTGGTTAGCCACGTGGTGCATGCTAGTCGTAGATCCTTACCTGAAGTTCACATGGGTCACATCACCCTTTTGGCTCTGGATGCGGGACAGCTTGAGGAACACCTCCTCTAGGCTGATGCACTTGTAAATGGAGAGCAGGACGCTGGGAGACTCCTCGGCCAGCAGGTGACCCGATCGCATTAGACCAATCTAAAAGTATTAAATGAATTAATTTTAAATATTATTTTAATAAATTAAATTCTGAATCCCTTACCGTATGCGCCTGTCGCGCCTCTTCAATGTAATGTGTGGTAATGATGACTGTCTTTTGACCTGCCTTGGTGATGTGCACCAGATGATTCCAGATGCTCTGACGCAGCAGGGGATCCACTCCCACTGTAGGCTCATCCAGAATCAGCAATTCAGGATCGTGCATCAGGGCGACGGCAAAGCTCACACGGCGCTGCTGGCCACCACTAAGATTCTTAACTAAACGCTTTTCTGACGGCAGATCTAGGAAGTTGAGCAGGAACTGTAGACGCTCCAAGATCTCCTTGGTTTCCATGCCGAAGATCCAGCCGAAATACATCATAGTCTCTTGAATGGAGAACTCTCCGTAAAGGGCGATCTCCTGTGGCATGTAACCCACGCGTTTTCCGGGAACACCCGATCCTCGAGTGCCCGGCTTGCCGCCCAGCACAAAGATCTCTCCGGCGTCCATGTAACGACGGCCCACAATGCAGGACAGCAGGGTGGTCTTGCCACAGCCGGAGGCTCCGAGGAGACCATAACTGGGGAATGAATAAAAATGTTATTTATTAGAAATTTTGAAGGATTTATTTGAGAGCTCAGTTTTAATATTTTTATCTCTAATAAATCTTATTTAACTTGTGATAATGAAAGATATATAAAGAGATATAAAAAGTTGCAAAATATAGAATATTATTTTTAGTCAACTTTGTAAGAACTTTGATTAACATTGTAGGTTAACAACAATGTTACTTTTCTCTCTCTTTTTTAACGTTTCAGGGGGTCACAAAGGTTAAGAAGCCAACCATGACAGAGAGGTAGAAATTTAATGAAAAGCAAGCAGAAAGAGGGAAAAACATTTGGCCAAGTTAGCAAAAAACTGTCCCCTCATATGAGTATATATATATATATATAGTAACTGAACTGGGTAAACACATAAAAACATGGCATGTCGGTGGCGATGTCAATGTTAATTCCAGCAGTTCAAGTTGAATTATTTCGAAATGTTCACCTTGAAATGTAAGAAATGCCAGCGAGTCTCTTCGCAGGCGGCTATCAAAATGCGACTCCGCCCCATTTTGGAAGGGGCCAGTCTCCCATTATTATCAACATCATCATAATCATCATAATCATGATGAACTTGGTAGCTTGTCGTCTGTTTTCGTTTTTGTCTTCGGCCTTTGACAAAATATTGCGGCACGTAGGTCGCACGTTTTGGCCTCTTATTGGATCTATTATTATAATTAGCACGCTGCGCCATTTAACGAATTAAACGAGACAAAATCTGATAATTTGGCCTCTGGGGATATAGAGGAGTGTCTGTCTGGAAGTTGGCCAGCCTTTAATTGGCTTAAATCGTTAATGCACTGACTTTGAGAGCCCAAAAGCAGTTCGTTGACTCGCCTCAAAAACCAAATCAAAAAAAAGTGACTAACTAAGCGACCTGACCTAGGTCAAAAAGCTGAACGAACCAAGCTGTTAA